GAGGGATAATGAACAAGTGCAAAATGTTTTTATTTATACTGAAAATACCATATTAAAGATTGTACATATGTGCTACGGATAAGTTTTTTCTTGATTTCGGAAAGGAAATCTCGGTGGCCGCTTTAAAATCCTATTTTTGCAAATACTTGCATAGTTTTTGTTGAAAATGAAATTTGTGCCAATACATTTTTCAATGATACCAATAAAAATATTGGATGGTCTTTAGATTATCAATAAAATTACTCCCTTGAAGTTGGTCATTGTTTGCCCTAAAAATTTCCAAATCGCCGATGTTTCTCAGGAAAACACGATGTTAAATAATAAGTTTATGCATAAGTTATCTTCATCATAAATGGTAAAACCAGCAATTTTCAAGTGATGTTGCTAGTGACAAAACTTTTGTAACAAATGAAACAAATATATGTTATGAAAAATGCGGTATGTTGTCCTTCGGTTTTATTTAGAAATATGGGAGAGGCGCCGTTTTATACCTGTCCGCAATAGAAGTTCGTAAATACTCCGAGAGGGGCGGGGCGTTATGCTTGACTTAAAATCGTTTAACTTTGTGAATCTACTTTTGTCATTTTAAACATGTTACTGTGTTAACGTACTCTTGTAGTTCTACAACTGGTTACACGTTTTCTTAAACTCTATTTTCTGTATTCGAGATTTACATTTCATTTGTATATTTTATATCTATAAGTGTGCAAACATGCATATGTATTGCATGCAATGGAAGATACGAACTTGTAAATTTGTTGTCGTTTTAGATGTTAGGTCAGTTGTTACGATCTATATGTAAACTTGTTATATAAAGGCGGGAACCTTCAATTAAAAGATTGAATTAAGAGACATATCATGTGCTATGCACGGGTACAATAAAAATGGTAGGCGTACAAGTTTACATTTTCAAAAGTCATTTTAAAAAGGAACACTTTACATGTCTGGAATTTTGGCAACGAACGCCCTCCATATGTTACAACTATTTTGAAAATTATATCTTAAAATCTAATTACTTTTAACACGGATTTATATTACAAAAATAATATATATCCGTGCCTTTAATACCTAGCATACACTCATAACACCAATGGTGATCTTCCTGACTATATTACCTTTCAACCAATTATTTCTTCATTAATAGAGGTCGGTGGTTTTGCTCTAGTGCTCACTCATACCTGAAAAAAATACACTGAGAATTACACTATGTCTTCCTCCACCAACACAGATGGAATGTCGCCAAATGGCATTTACAGTGCTGATGTGACTTGAGCTAAACCCAACGAAAAATGATAATAATTGTAATATTGAAATAATTCTTTTTATTTAATACTGTAATGCAGTCTTACAGATATGACATAGACGAGTGGTCTGCAGCCTTAAAAAAACTCCAAATCGCGATTGATCGACATGATGTAATTATGTCAGCATAGATTCAAATGTTACAAATGACCTTTAATGATAGTGTCGATGTGACTTATTCAAATCCCAAATAATAACCAGCAAAATATTATAATGATGAAATACACATTTTGAATTAATACTGTGTTCCCGTCTTACAGATATGAGGATCGACGAATGGTCAGAGGCCTAAAAACCTTCTAAAAACCGAGATCATATATTAATGTCAGCATGCATTTATACTATATGTTACCGTAATTTATTTTACGGTTCAAGTGAATATTGTGTTTACTGTAAAGATATGTCAGGATGGCCGAGTGGTCTAAGGCGCCAGACTCAAGGTGATAAACCTTCATAACGAGTGTTCTGGTCCACGTATGTGGGCGTGGGTTCGAATCCCACTTCTGACACATACTTTTGTTATTTATTTTTAAAAAACGTTGCTTTACTAAAACGAGATAAATCGTTCCTCAAATGTTACAACTTTTTTCTTTTATTTGATTTAACGCCAACATGTCTTCAAACATTTTGTTTCGAATACTGAACCACCTCAATAATTAAAATGAAAATATTATTTATGTTACAACTATTTTGAAAATTATATCTTAAAATCTAATTACTTTTAACACGGATTTATATTACAAAAATAATATATATCCGTGCCTTTAATAGCTAGCATACACTCATAACACCAATGGTGATCTTCCTGACTATATTACCTTTCAACCATTCATTTCTTCATTAATGGAGGTCGGTGGTTTTGCTCTAGTGCTCACTCATACCTGAAAAAAATACACTGAGAATTACACTATGTCTTCCTCCACCAACACAGATGGAATGTCGCCAAATGGCATTTACAGTGCTGATGTGACTTGAGCTAAACCCAACGAAAAATGATAATAATTGTAATATTGAAATAATTTTTTTTATTTAATACTGTAATGCAGTCTTACAGATATGACATAGACGAGTGATCTGCACCCTTAAAAAAACTCCAAATCGCGATTGATCGACATGATATAATTATGTCAGCATAGATTCAAATGTTACAAATGACCTTTAATGATAGTGTCGATGTGACTTATTCAAATTCCAAATAATAACCAGCAAAATATTATAATGATGAAATACACATTTTGAATTAATACTGTGTTCCCGTCTTACAGATATGAGGATCGACGAATGGTCAGAGGCCTATAAACCTTCTAAAAACCGAGATCATATATTAATGTCAGCATGCATTTATACTATATGTTACCGTAATTTATTTTACGGTTCAAGTGAATATTGTGTTTACTGTAAAGATATGTCAGGATGGCCGAGTGGTCTAAGGCGCCAGACTCAAGGTGATAAACCTTCATAACGAGTGTTCTGGTCCACGTATGTGGGCGTGGGTTCGAATCCCACTTCTGACACATACTTTTGTTATTTATTTTTAAAAAACGTTGCTTTACTAAAACGAGATAAATCGTTCCTCAAATGTTACAACTTTTTTCTTTTATTTGATTTTACGCCAACATGTCTTCAAACATTTTGTTTCGAATACTGAACCACCTCAATAATTAAAATGAAACATTATATATGTTCCAACTATTTTGAATATTATATCTTAAAACCTAATTACTTTTAATACGGATTTATATTACAAAAATAATATATATCCGTGCCTTTAATAGCAAGCATACACTCATAACACCAATGGTGATCTTCCTGACTATATTACCTTTCAACCATTCATTTCTTCATTAATGGAGGTCAGTGGTTTTGCTATAGTGCTCACTCATACCTGAAAAAAATACACTGAGAATTACACTATGTCTTCCTCCACCAACACAGATGGAATGTCGCCAAATGGCATTTACAGTGCTGATGTGACTTGAGCTAAACCCAACGAAAAATGATAATAATTGTAATATTGAAATATTTTTTTTATTTAATACTGTAATGCAGTCTTACAGATATGACATAGACGAGTGATCTGCACCCTTAAAAAAACTCCAAATCGCGATTGATCGACATGATATAATTATGTCAGCATAGATTCAAATGTTACAAATGACCTTTAATGATATATAGTGTCGATGTGACTTATTCAAATTCCAAATAATAACCAGCAAAATATTATAATGATGAAATACACATTTTGAATTAATACTGTGTTCCCGTCTTACAGATATGAGGATCGACGAATGGTCAGAGGCCTATAAACCTTCTAAAAACCGAGATCATATATTAATGTCAGCATAATTTATTTTACGGTTCAACTGAATATTGTGTTTACTTTAAAGATATGTCAGGATGGCCGAGTGGTCTAAGGCGCCAGACTCAAGGTGATAAACCTTCATAACGAGTGTTCTGGTCCACGTATGTGGGCGTGGGTTCGAATCCCACTTCTGACACATACTTTTGTAATTATATTTTTCAAATGCTTTCATTCAATAAAACCAGATCAATCGCGGCGTTCGAAGGATTTCTGTCTCGCACATTTTACTTTATAACATAACATAAGTCTTATTTGCTAATACATTAAGTACTGACATACCTTCAGTCAAATAATGAATTGTCAATTTTATAAGCATTAATAATAAATGAGGATGAATTACACAATAGTCTACATTCTATAATTATTGTGGTTCGAATCACAGGCATTCTGGGGTCGGACTCTGGCACCAACTTGCTCAGCCCTTGCAAACTCTTTAACCCCGAATGCGACATTTGTTTTAAAGAATCGTATTTTCACGTGTTTTTAAATTCTTCATGAATTTACGATCCCATTTACCATCAAGCTTGGATAAAATATTGAGACTTTGTGCTATATAGGGGTTTAAATGTATGTGAACGGGGTGGGTGTGGGAGGAGTGTCAACTATAAGTGTTGTTATTTGATATTTTGAAAATAATAAGCCAATCAAATGTGCCGTTTTAACGTTGAAGTCAATAAAGATCCCTGCCAGCCATAAGGCTTTTTTAAAGGGGCCTCCGTGGCCGAATGGTTAAGGTCGCTGACTTGAGATCACAGGTCCCTCACCGCTGTAGGTTCGATCCTCAATCTTGTCGAAATCTTTCATGTGAAGAAGCCATCCAGCTAGCTTTCGGAAGGTCGGTGGTTCTACCCAGGTGACCGCTCGTGCCTGAAATAATGCCCGGAGGGGCACCTGGGGTCTTCCTTCACCAATAATTTATTAAGGCTGGAACAAAATCGTCGAAAAAATCTCGGCGGGACGCTCTAGGATGGCCCGACTTAAGTGTACGGTCGCCCATATGGGCTTTCCGGCGGCGACCTTAAATAAACGCATTAAAAAAAGAAAAAAAAGGGCAGGTGATTAACAACCGGATGATAGCATGAAATGTACACTATTGCCAACATTGCATGAAAATGACAGAAATATTCCAGCCCAGCTCATGAACGTATCTTTAGGCTGAGCTGGGGGACTGCAGTCCTGAACCCAGGGTCTGAAACCGCCACTGACCGGGTTTCATGGTTTTAAAACGTGGAAATTTTGAATCAAACCAAGTTTATGATTGACACGTTACAATAATTATTAATTAAACTATTGACGTCACGTTTGAACATTTGCACGTAAGCGCGTGTAATAATGACGTAATTATAGCAAACAACTCGGAAAAAGTCATACTCGGTATTAGTAAAGCCTGTATCTTGTTACAGAGAATTGCTTTTAAATTTGAAAATAGTCAAGAAGTTTGTCTTTGGTATAACAGGTAACAATCATTATTTGTTCTAGAAATTTGATTACTGCAGTATGAAATTTTACAAATCAAGCTATGAAAAAATATTAAAATTCTATCTTTAAAAAGCACGGACATCTCACGAGAGTTTAGATCTTAATGGTGTTTTCAACAACAGGAGTGTACATGAGATGTCGAATTTAGGACACCCGACGATATGAACTGTGCGGTTAGGCTAGGTTTTATCGCTTCAAATAAGGTAACATTTCTAATTGGTTTGCCTGCTTTTGTCGCATTTTAATTTTTAAAAATATGTATGATGGTAAGTCAGCACTGGTAAGTTAGTAAGTTTTCGGACGTATCTTTTTTTTATTTATTTATTTATTTATTTATCCAACTTTTTTATTATTGAATTTATTCTATTTATTTTTAGGGGGTGCATTTTCAGAATTTATAGATACATTGTATCTAAAATACATTTTAGGAAGTATTCACAACCACTCAGATTAATTTTATTCAAGAGTTTTTTTTTTTCTCAAGTTGTCGAATTGCGTAATATTTTTTTCAAGGTTGAATAATTTACCTGTAAAGAAACATTGTTCCACTGGTGCTTACCATAAATTAATGTAGAGAAAAAGACGTTTAATAAAAAAATAACCTGATTACAGTACAGTATATAAGACAGTTTAAATAGATACCTAGATATGCTATGAGTATAAACTTAACAAATAGCTAAACAAGCGGAAATTTCTCTTAACATTGATTAATTATGTATAGATTCAATTTAGACCCACAACATGTACTAGTATTTAAAAAAATTCGCCTTCATGAAAGTCAGAATGCATTAAAAATTATATAAATCAATTACTGTACTGTATAGATAAGAAATTTTAAAACTTTATATATAGACCTTGCAGATAAGAACTATAAAATCCTATTAAGAGCTGGCTAACCATAGAAAAACAACTACGATAAGAGTTAAATATGCAAAGTATTTCCATTTATTAGGCTACTATAATATATTTGATAGGGTAGTTTGTATCTTGATACATGCTTTTTTTAAATTTAATACAGTATATTGTGCAATGTTCAGTAGATCTGTATTATTGTATCAGAAAAAACGAGACCCTTAAAACATTATCAAACATGTATTTAATTTCTTTGGACTTAACATAAACAGTGTATTAATGAAATTCTGGTGCATGGAAACTAGTTATAAATTCTTAAAAAAATATTTCTGAGCGTATAAACTGTTGTTTGCAATATAACCACCTCGCATAGGGTGTCGGGTCATATATGATTAGACAGTTGTAAAATACAGAGTAAACTAACCTCAAAAAATCTTTGTAAATTATATTTACTAATATGATTTGTAAAAAAAAGAAGAGATAAACACTACTCCTGAATCTAAGTCCTTGAACTTGGACGGCTTAAAGAAAGGGGTTCACTGACCTGTTAATCTTGTGACATTTGATAAGACTTGTAAAAATCGAAAGAACTAGAAACTATGACCCATGTTTACCTTAAGAAACGCGTTTAACGTAACATTGTGTATCTCCCTTGCCAGGTATTGATCACCTAGTCGCTGTACTAAATTATCGGTTAATGTATTGATTTTTGAATACATGAAATCTAATGCCAAATATTTCAAGCTGTATGCATTGTATTTTGGACTTACTCTAGCGGTGTTCAGTTTATGTTTACGTTCGCGTATTGAAATCGCACGTAGAACTTCAATGTTTTATGGTATTAAGACGGACTTACTTTTACTTTTTTCATTTTACTTCAAGGTAAACAGTGAGAGGTGAATTGGACATTTAAACAGCAAATGTGATGTATTTCGACGTTGATTTTTCGACGGAGAGCTCAGGAAGTTCAGGTGGACTGTCAAGTTTGCAAGGCACGTCGGATGCTCCCGCAACACTTCACTGTGACCCATGCCTCAATGAGATGAACTCGGTGATTGCAGAACGTTTTTGTGAGGAATGTAATCAGTATTTGTGTAAAGACTGTATACGGTACCATAAAAAATTTGCAGCAACGCAGACGCACACACTTGTAAATATAGGTAACACTTCATCGAAACAAACAGCAGACGACATTTTCAACATTGATCACCCAATAGGATCAGCCGAACACAAACTGTCTTCCGGGATGTCCAAACATGCGCACAAGTACGAAAATTCAGTATTGAAACATGTGGGTGATGTTTGCGTCAAGACATCAAAGGATCATCATGACTGCAACATAACTGGAGCAGAACTTCTTACTAAAGATTTTCTGGTATTAGCTGACAATAACAATAATGCGATTAAAATATTGAGCACTAAGCATAGGGAGATTGTCTCGGATTATACACTTACGTCTGCCCCATGGGATGTCGCCGTCATTGACACTGGAATACTTGAGCCAGAACAGCTGGCGGTGACGCTTCCAAAGGAACGCAAAATTCAGTTTCTCTCATTAATTGAAGGAGATTTGGTCAAGGCACATTCTATTGAAGTTGATGGAGATTGTCGAGGAATTGCATATAGTCATAACAGACTGGCGGTGACCTGTGATGCACCGGAACCGTGTAAAGTAGAAATCTTAGACATGAATGGGCGTATTATCAAAACGTTAAGCAAAGATGAACATGGAAAATGTCTATTTAAATGTCCTCAAAACATAGCGCCTTCACACGATGGTTCGTTTCTATTCGTAACAGATCGAATTACATGTGACGTCACTAAAGTTACGTTTAACGGGAAAAAAGTTGCTGTGTACGATGATGCAGATCTATGCAGCCCGGAAGGACTGGTTGCTTCACGTGACGGAACGTTGATTGTCTGCAACTATAAGAATAACATGCTTCATCTCGTATCAGAAGAATGTGAGAAATTAAAGATAATAAAGCCTCTGAGTGACTCAGTTATATGTCCAACGGCCGTCTGCTTTTGCGAGGAGCGTAACAGGTTGTACGTCAGCCGGTACTGGACCGGCGCTCATCCTCTGTACGTTAACAATATAAATATTCTCGAGTTCGAATCTCTGACCAAATCAAAATGAAAACTGTATACACATGAATCAATCAAAGTTGAAAACTGTTCTACATAATGATAGAGCTACTTCTGTGCACTTGTTAATTTATTGGACGAATGTGTGCATGTTTAATGTCTTTTTCCAATAATACTATACTCATACATGTATAGAGATCTAAATTATACATCTGATGTAGGTCTAGCTGCTATGGAAATAAATTTCAACAAATAGTGAGTTATATGCTTTTTGAGTTATGAGTTCATGAAATGAGCCGCGTCATGACAAAACCAACATAATGGGTTTGCGACCAGCATGGATCCAGACCAGCCTGCGCATCCGCGCAGTCTGATCAGGATCCATGCTGTTCGCTATCAGTAATAGGGTTTGTAAGCGAACAGCATGGATCCTGTTCAGACTGCGCGGATGCGCAGGCTGGTCTGGATCCATGCTGGTCGCAAACCCATTATGTTTTGATTTTGTCATGACGCGGCTCAAATACATTGTAGTTTCTAACACAGGTCCTGACACTTTTCATGGAACTGACTGAGAAAGTTGGGATTGGTATGAATATTGTGCTTTGAATAAGGTAACAAGCAATTATCATAGTATTGCAAGCAATCCATAAGTCCCCTACCGGTTAGAACCCCATCAACATTCTGAAGGGCCATTGGCCATTCACTTATGTTTCAATTTTTCTCTATTTTAAGTAAACTTGTTGGAAAAGTTCTTTAAAAGTGATCACAGGAAACAGTTTTTATGAACAGACAGACAGACGGACTGAAGGACACTCTAAAGTTAATATTTGAAACATCCCTGTTACTAAAATATAACATTTTAAAAGCAGAATTCTTAAAGAGGAGATAACTCTTGAATTAAAGATGCAATTTCATAAAAAATTTCAGCTCTTTTTGACTAATCACAAATATTGTTATATTAATGCCATGTTTTAAGCCTATTTGTTGCCAAGGCAACTGATATTTTTTCAAAATAGGAAGAACATATAAGACATGCATAATCTCAACACTGCTATCTACCCATATGTCAAGTTTCATAAAAATATTTCCAGTACTTTTTGCGTTATCACTGGATCCAGTTTATGTGTAAAATTTGCCATATTTTTAGCCTATTTGTTGCCATAGCAACCAGAATTTTCAACATAGGAAGAAAAGAAAAAGACGTGCATAATTCCAAGACTGCCATCTACCCATATGTCAAGTTTCATAAAAATATTTCCAGTACTTTTTGCGTTATCACTGGATCCAGTTTATCTGTAAAATTTGCCATTTTTTAGCCTATTTGTTGCCATAGCAACCAGAATTTTCAACATAGGAAGAAAAGAAAAAGACGTGCATAATCTCCATACTGCCATCTATCCATATATTAAGTTTCATAAAAATATTTTCAGTAGTTTTCAAGTTATCGCGGGATCCAGTTTTGTGGACGGACGGACTGACAGACGGACGGACAGACGGACGGAGGGTAAACCTAAAGTCCCCTCCGGTAAACCGGTAGGGGACTAACAATGCCGATTTTAATCAAGCTGATCATTGCTGATTTATTTAAAATGTTTAGTTTAATTAAAACCGGCTATGTACAAGTGTTCAGCAACAGCCAATCCCGGAGATGGTAGCAGCGTTTCGGGGACTTTGACTTTAGGTTTATTAAACTCCAAACAAAAACGCAACCAGTCAGATGGTAAAGTTCTCACTTAGTGCAAGTCGAACATATAAAATGATTGCACAAATAAAGAATACAAAAGCAATGATTCATATAAGTTCACATTAACCAAAGAATAAATTTGCAAATTGACCGAATTACACAAACTGTCGTTCTCTCGGTCGACGAATAATAACTTTAAAGCTCTCTATATTCAAATTAATTGTACTATAGTAATGTTTTTTTCACGAACATCAAAACTTCTCTTACAATAAAAGATTATTTGTCAATACATGGCCTTATTTTCATATTTTATAAACGTTCATTCAATATTGATTAATGCCGCCGAAAAAAAAATCAAAAGAAAATAAACATAATAGGTCTTCTATTCAGAATAAGCTTATTTCACAAATGAATGGTTTACGTAAATGTCTAATAGGTCGTGCAATTTTTACAAATACCACGAAATGCTTTAATTCAATAACGCATAAGAATCGTCACTTATGTCCATGCCCGGACAAGAACTATAATTTTAATGTCAAGGATAGTCTATTTAAGGGCAAGCACCTTAGTTTATGAGAGGGCAATAACCATAGTTTATGTAAAGGCCAAAAACCATAGTTTTTGTGAAGGGACCAGAACCATAATGGCTATGTGAGGCTAAAGATAACAACATAGTTTATGAGAGGACAATAACCATACTTAATGTGTGTACAAGAACCATAGTTTATGTAAAGGGCAAGAACCATAGTGGCTGTGTGGACAAGAACCATAGTTTATGTAGGGCAAGAACCATAGTTTATGGGAGAATAAGAACCATAGAGACTATGTTAGGTAAAAATAGTATATGTAAAAGCAAAGACACACACGAAGACGGGACAAATATCTCTAAGGTGACAAGAACCAGTGTTTATGGGAGTCCAAAATACGTTTATGTAAGGGCTAGATCCATACTTTAAATGTGATTAAGAACCTTACATTATGTGTGGACAAATGCCATAGTTTATAGGAGTGAACAAAAAACCATATAGTAAATTTGATAAAAAGCATACCTTATGTAAAGGCAAGAACCATAGTTTATGTGCGGACAATGGCCATAATTTAAGCGAGATAAACTACATTGCATGAATGATTTCAAATGAACTGAGGTTTCAGTTAAATCATGTTAATATTTAGAAATGGCAATATGTAACCTTATATTGCCGAGTAACAAAGATCTTTGCTGAGGCGTAGCAATATACTCCCGTCGGTAAATGTGGGAGAATCTTGGACAAAAGTATGTTCATTGCTGTAAGTTTCAAAAGTCAATCATTTCCTATTCGCCTTTTTAAGTCGAGATTTATCTAATAAGTGACATAAAAGATGAAATTAAAGAGCCTCCCCCAGTGTTAACATTTCACAGCAGAATGTTATCCTTTCATATATTTTTTCAAAAGCCACACTGCAGAACCCTATGCAAGATAATTTTTTACAGAAAATTTTCAAATTAAGTGGACATGAGGGTATGATATTAAGTAGATTGTGCTTAACCTGTGTTTTTTATCAAACATTTTGCCAAACCAAATTCAAATTCAATCACCAAAATACTTCATTAACTTATCCTGCTGCTTGGCAAACAATGTCACAGAAAATTTGCATATTAAGGGGCATATCTTAATATAACGGAAACCAATTGTACGTTGACAGAGGGAAGGAAAAGCCATGACATATAGCATCTCAACATGTTAATAAAAACAACAAAATAAATCTTTAACAACTATTACATGTTTATTTATTATACAGAAACATCAAAACAAAGGTGAAACGGCACATTTATGTAATGAAACTTACATTTTTAAACTATACCAATAAGAATGTTTCAAACACGAAAAGATATTCATTTAACGAAAAGAAACAAGTTATCATATTTTTTGAGAATTTATGAAAATCGTTACTTATGAAAAATGAGTAAACACCTTAAATGTAAAGAAAGTTTTGAGAAATCCTGTCTATAAAGTAAATTGGTTATTCGGAAAATCATTAATGTAAGATATTTGGCTAGTGTTTATGCACAAGTATTATATCACATACCAGAGCCGGTTTTGCGTCATTTGCCTTAAAAACATAGTACTGTTAGTGTTACACTTAAGTTCTTATTTTGGATATGTGATAAAAAGAATTTTTTATTCATGTAGTTTCATAACTTAATTCATTGAACTCTCTGAATAAAAATATATTTTGCTAGTCAGAGGCTCGCATTTATCAACTCGTACAATAAAGACAGAACTGAATCTACACTCATTATAAGAAAAATCCTAGGCATTTTAATCTCTTTCAATCCTTAGATTTAAAATCTAGATACTTAATATTTTTCCCAGCCTGTCACAACAGGAAAATCAGCTTTAAAACTTTTAAATTCACAACTATGTAGAAATGTGGGAATTTATGTCAATTCCAATCAAACTTTGAAAACCCTTATTCTATATACCGTCGTAAAGTCAATGCTTTCACTAAATCATCTTACATGATTTATCTTAAAGTCTTATAAAAGTCAAAAGTCAAAACTGACTTACTCACCCAAAATAGTATTTAAAAAAAAATAGAGTACAGAAATTAAAAGACCGGAAAAGACTTTGTCTAATGCTTAAATTGTTAAAATATAGGACAAAATTTATCCATCAATTTAGGCCACTATGTACAATTCAAACATAAAATGATGTGTACACATCTTAATATAAATAACATGTTTGAGTCAACAGAAAAAAATGAACCTACTCTAAATATTTAACATTTCATACCATTATGTACACAAGTTTGGGTATGAGTAAAACATTCAAAACAAACAGGCAAGTTAATCGTGTTTGTATCGTTACAGCAAGTAACATTCATCATGTCATCGCAACGAGGCTAGTTGACAAATCCAGACATTTACAGATACCAAACTTCATAATTACCATTAATGTTTTGTACTTTAACGTTTAACTCATTTGAGCCGCACCATGACAAAACTAACATACATGTAGTGGGTTTGTGACCAACACAGATCTAGACCAGCCTGCTCATCCGCGCAGTCTGATCAGGATCCATGCTATTCGCTTACAAACCCTATTTCATGTAGAGAAACTGATAGCGAACAGCATGAATCCTGATCAGACTGCGCAGACGAGCAGGCTGGTCTGGATCAATGCTGGTCGCAAACGCACTATGTTGGTTTTGTCATGGCACTGCTTAATTTTAGATTAACAACATACAGTCCCTAATGCATTGTGGAAAAGGAAATAGAATAAAAAAATAAAATTCAGACCATATTCTCTGTAACATATTCAAATATTTCTGTAAATATGAATTAAATTTTGCCAAAATAATTTTTTTTTCAGGATTATAACCAAAGTTTTAAGAAACTCTAGTTTCAAGTACATAAATAATATATCATAAATTAAAACCAATATCACAGAACAAAAGTTACATGTAAATTAAGTCTAAATACTTCAAATAGTCAATGATAGGCAATAAAATCTAAAACAATGTTTCTAAAAAAAAAAAAAAAAAAAAAAACATAACTGTTACTTGAAGTCTTTTTTGGGGGGGGTTTTAATTTTCTTTTTTCTAAAAAAAAAAAAAATGTTTGGAATATTTCATTTGATATCAAGTAAAAACATATATATTTATATATATATATCATACACAATCCATTTTAAGAAAGCCACATTATGGTCTTAAGTTACATTATTAGTTAATTTACAAGTGAAAATCCTCAATGATAAATCTCAGTTAACCAGCCAATCAGCTGCGAGAGAACCAGCCAATCAGCTGCGAGAGAACCAGCCAACCAACTGTGACAGAACCTGACTGGTTGCAAGAATCTTAATTTGAAAACTGTAAGACCAAAGTCCTTAACAACTTCTAAACTTATCAATTATTACACACTGCTTAAGTTTAACATGAAAACACTGACTACCCTCTGACATTATTATTTTAACGTGATCTATGCATCAACAAAAGTTGTTTAAAAATCAAATTAGCACACTTAATGTACTTATGACATGGCAAAAGTAAAAATATACAAATACATAACATCATTATAATAGTGAATTCATTAAAAAAAAAAAGGAAAAGAAAGTTAAGACTATCATCTCAAAAGCTGCCTTTAAAAAGTTCATCGAGTCAAACAAAACACAAATTTACACTTTGTCTAAAACATGTCTCATGCCTTTCAACACTGACAGATTTACTTCCCTTTGATTGTTCTCATGGCACATGACTTGCTACATCATACACTTCCATATTCCAACAAAGTAAAAAATCAAAACTTCAATTTCTGTATGTTAACATCCAAAATTTCATATCGTTCAAAACATTGGTAAAATTAAACTTTTAGATTTTTTAAAACCTATTCAATACATTGAAACTATTTAGTAGTCAACTTTCTTTATGATGTATCGAAGTTGTTGAGGAGTGCCGAATACGAGATCTTCTGTTTCTGTCGAATACTGTGACCTTTGACCTCTTTTTCTATGATTTTCTCCTTGTCAAAAGTATCATACTTGCTGTCGGAGGCATGAGACTGAAAAAGTAATACATATATTTTATTACTTCAACTTCATTCCTTTTATCAATTGACTGACACTATTTTTTTTTAAGTATTTGCCTATTAATAATCTTTTTCTTCAAACAGAAGGCTGGTTATTCTAGCCAGAGGCCAGTTTATGCCTAAGATATCAAATAACCTAACATTTTTCACCATCAGCTAAATCCATGTGTCACTGTATGAACTAAATTGTGCATGTGTGAATATATTAACCAACAAAAATATGCTTATATCCGATGCAAGATATAGCCTTTTTAACAAAAGATTATCCTTCTATAAATTTAAAGGATATTATTAGCTTAGGTTTTACTAAAGAAAATATCTATCTACCATTACCTGACTTAATTTGAGTCATGGACTTACCAGGTTTTGAAGTTGCCATTGTTCATTATTAGTAAAAGGCACATAATGCCTCAGAAATGGATAAAAAACATTCAATCTTTTACAAAGTGAAAACATGATTTTTACACCATTTAGATAATGGTCTTAAACTTTCAGAGCATGTTAAATGTTTAACACCTGACGTAACTAACGCCGAATGTGACATTATTGGTCATCAATGTAGCAGAATGTAAACAAGGTAGTATTTTAACTTCCATACAAAATACTAAATCACTATAACTGTACTTTTAATTGCAAAAATGCAATAGAAGAAAAAGATTATTCAGATGTTAGGCCAATGAATACTTTTATGAAAACTATAACAGGGTATAAAATCGAACGCTTTTGAGAAATAAACATAAATGCATTTGGAGCTTAATGGGCCTTTAAATAATTCAATATCAGAACCGGTTCTCGAGTCTGGTTGATCTACCAGGAAGTATCCCAGCTATTTATTGATGGCAAATGTATGTCATAATCACTGATAATATTTATTCTACACAGATTCATCATATAAATACCAATGTGGAGAATAATCAGTTTTTGGTGCATACATCATGAGATATCATATATAACATGTACCTACCATTCTAGTTTTCACACTTTTAGGTAACTCCTCATCCTGCATCCATAGTTCATCTCTCGGAATACTTCTCTCTGAACCATCCTCAAACCCAATCTGTAAAATAAAAATAACCATTGAAAATCTCTTAACTTATACATGAAACATAAGCTCACGAAAACACGGCATTTTTGCGCATCAGTATCTTAAAACGGCAGTGTGGTTATATCTTCACCAGCAAACAATTTTTTTTTTAAACTCCTGAATTTCTGAATAAATAATGGAAAGAACAAGAGATAAAAACAAATATTCTAATGTTAATTACAATGTTACTAAATTCTTTTCAATAAAGACTAGAACTCTCAAAAATCGCAAGTCAAAGTGTAAATTAAGGGAGACAGCAATATATTCCTTACATAAACAGTGTACAATGTACATGGAATATCTTAGTGTTGATAAGTCTAGTTACCTTGTAAACCACCTGAGAATTAGTTCCCTTAAATGTAGCTCCCCATAAAGTACCATCTGTCCATATCACCTTCACCTTTGTTCCTACTGGAGGTGGCCCATCCTCCGCTCTATGACCCTAAAAAACATTAAATATGTTGATGTTTTTGTGTTGTTGAATTTGTTTTATAATTATTGAAAATTATAAATATCTAAAATACTTAGAGTGAAACAACTACCTTCATTAATATATAGCTGCTGGCAATATAAACATAATCTACTGTCTAAGTGGTTGATATTCACAAATATTTGATGTGTGATCAGGTCCTTTATCAAACTAACAATGTATATTTCAAACAATTATATAAATAATAAAGGTATTATACAATTGTGTAGAACGATTACAATAACAGCATATTCTTAACATGTACCTGCTTATTACATGATAACACAAAAACAGTATTAAATTCAAGAAATAAAATTTTCGCAAATATTTCTGCTTGCAAACAGTCCACTTTTTGACATTCGCGACATTTTTGTGACGCATAAATATCACTTATATGTGTAGTATTTGACTGATCCAGGGTAATTTAAAGCACTTTAAAGAAAATTATTTCACACAAACCGTAGTATCATGATGACATTTAAGCAAATTTTTTACCCGAACTGACAAGAAAAATGTGATTTAAATAAGAAAAAAACTTACGTTTATATCTTCTGGGTATAAATCATGACTAAAGGATCCATCATCAAAGTCCACCTCATAGAAAACCTGATCTCTACAGTCTAGAACCTCGGCTACATAGTAACGAGTATTTTTATGCTTCGCTATAACACGATCACCCACCTCCAGTGGTGTTAATTTTCTCTCTTTTTGCTTTAAAAACATAAACAAACAACTATAAATCTTTGTTTCTTGTTAAGGACAAGTTTAAAAGTTTGAAGAATTTATTTTTTACTCAGACTATGTCTAACAAGGGTCCATTCATATAATATGGACATAAATCTGATGGTACACTTTAGCAGAACTGACCACGGGCTTACACTATAGCATCAAACCTAAACTTAGGGTTACTACGGGTAATTAAAAACCTTGATTTCCAGGGCATTCAACAGAATGCAATTAAATTATCATTTTTCTGAAATATTAGTTAAAAAATATTTATATATTTTTTTTCAATTTTCTTCAGCCCTTTCTTGGAACTGAAACATTTATCAGCTAGCAGTATGAAGACAAATCAGACTGCACAAAAAAAAAGCATGCAAGCTTTGGATTTTTACGTCTTTGCTAAATGAAGCTCAAAGCAATAAATCTATTAAACTAACACCTACCTTTACCTTAGTCAGGTGCATGTGCCTGGAACATGTAATATACACAGGGTGTGGCCAGTCGCTGGTTTCAAACACAACACCGGCAGCGTGAGCACAGGTAACGTGGAACGACAATGTACATCTCCCGTTAGAGCACTGTACACAAGTCCTTCGTACAAATGTAGGATCTGATACCATCCCATTACAGTACTGACATTTCTGTAATAGTAGTTATATACATACATATAATCATAATCTTTTTTTTTTAATGTTGAAAGACTAAATATATCAAGCAAATATATATGTTCATAGTTCAGTTTTGCTTGCTAAATATTTACTATGTCATGCAAACAAGTCAGTCTCAAGTGCTAGGTTATTAAACTGTGTACTGATGAAAATTTATAAATTATTAAAACATTTTTACCTATGATATTTGTATGGTCCTACAAAGACCCGAGATATTCCTGTCACATTTTATTCAGAATTTTCAGTGTTTTTTATTTAAAATGGTATCATACCAACACTATTAAAGTAATACCACAACTTTTGAGAAAAATACACAGATGCCCCTCAATTTTTTATTTCAAGCACAAGTGGACATCTGCATATATCTATCCAAATTAACAATAGGATAAACTTCAAAGTTAAAGTTTCAAAAGTTCTAAGAGGATCTGAACAAAAATCAGGGAGGAGATAAAGAAGAAATTTAAAATTATTGTTTGTTAAGTTTATTTTGTTTTTTATACTGACTTCAACACTGTTTTGGTCATAGCTTGGTGGTCAGTCCATGTAACTGACATTCCTGGATAACTAATCAGCAATTACCATTTTTTTCGCAAACACATTACTAATCCAAAATCATTTATGAATCAGTAAGAAACAAATGAGCCGCCTCATGACAAAACCAACATAGTGGGTTTGCGACCAGCATGGATCCAGACCAGCCTGCCCATCCGCGCAGTCTGATCAGGATCCATGCTGTTCGCTTACAAACCCTATTACAAGTAGAAAACTCATAGCAAACAGCATGGATCCTGATCAGACTGCGCGGATGCGCAGGCTGGTCTGGATCCATGCTGGTCGCAAACCTATTATGTTGGTTTTGCCGTGACTCGGCTCATTTATGAATCAGTAAGGGACAAATATCCATTGAATTTTATGTCCGAGATCAATTGTCACAGAGAAATTTTGCCTTGTCTGAGTAACAAACCAGACACATCTAATGCTTTCCCTATGTAGCTAAACTTATGCTTTCCCTATGTAGCTAAACCAGCGGACAATACCTAATAATTTTCTTTACAAATTTATTACATTACATACCAGTCTTATACGTGCAATTGTAATATTGGAGGTGTTAATTGGCTCTCGTCTTTGTATATCTTCAAATTTTACTTCTTTGATTGTTAAGGCACAGACAATATGTGCCCATTGACCATCTTTTGTGGGCTTCAGTGCTCCACCCCGCAGTGTACACAATACACACTCCTGTAAAACAATATTGTAAAATACTGTATAACAATACACTTCCATTGGGAATCCAAAATAAATATCAAACCTATATTAGTGAAGATTCCTGAGAATGTTTCCTAATAATCAGATCTGATGGCCCAGAAAATGGCCTAGAGCCTTAGTAAAGACAATACAGCAGAACAAATGTGATTATAATCTACACATGGATGATATATAGTACTCCAAGCAACAATATCGCGGTAATCAGAATATGTACTGATTTGCATACATAGCTGCAGAGCGAAAGATTTATCTACATGATGTTGTCTTTGACAACGGAATTAAACTTTGATGGACATGTTAACTTTAAAAGATGCCACAGTTAATACCAGTAAAATACATCAGTGAAATCAAGTCTTGTTCATTATCAAAAATTAACAAAAATATTTTGTACCATTGTATGTAAAAAGAGAAAACCCTTGTGAAAAGTAACATAGATGAACATCGATTCACTCTCATCAGCATATACTATCTTCTTTTGGATCTGGTAAAATTGTGATGAAAATAATAGGATATCATAATATACAGAATGACATACAGACAGATATTTAAGTATACTTACAGCTTCAACTTCCTGTTTCAAACACCGTGTGCATTTCCATTTTGTTCCATCTTCATGTTGTACACCATAGCAACCTGAAACAAAGAAGTATCATCTTAATATAAATACTATGTTCATCCTAGGCTATTATCAATTTTTTTACTTATCAGTTAATATTTTAAGTCAAAAAGTAAGGTTGTACTATAACAACAGTAGCTTATATAAAACATCTTTTACAATATCCTGTCCTCAACGGCAAGTGAATCAAAGTGACAAAATTTTGTGATAGATGTGACAGACCTTTTAAAAAGACAAAATTTAACCATATGCTGAAAATTAAATCCATCGTCTCTGAATGAATTAACGGAAAGTGCATCTTGACAAATAAGAAATCTGTTACTGGTTTGATCAAAACAGACTTATGTTAAGTCCGAAAGCTTTGGGCAGAATATCTTGGTAAAATTAATATTACAAATCCAAAATAAGCATTATCAAATTCATGGAACTCATGTTTTTTTATGGAATCAAAAGGAACTTTGTTGGGTTACTTTTCTTTCACCTTCAAAAGAAACTTTAGCGTAAAAACCTTCAAGTCTCCCTACTGCTAATCATGCAGCGACCCATCAGTTCTTATGTGGCTATGAGTTGGTTATGTCCATCATTCACCTAGTTACACAAAAATGTTTAACGCCAGTTTATAAAGTACACAATTTATTCCTATACATGTCTTGTATGTCCTACAACTATTGTGTACATGTATGGAAAGTTTTAGCAACAGATGGGACTTCATATTCATTGGTTTAAACATATTCACAAACAGTTCTATTGCGAAACTTCTTGCAACTTATTTTCACCACTTTCTAGTGCCCTTCAAAGAATTTACCAGTACTGATATCATCTGAGGTAACAAGTTCATGACTAAAGTATGGATGAAACCTACTATCTCAGGGTTGAGAGCAGACTCTTTAACAAGAAGGCCATTGCTCCTCAAATTAATTCAAACTCTTAATATAACTTACTTGCATGCACACACACTTTGCAGGATTCACAAACTAGCAATGGACTGAGGCCATCCTCATCTAGCAATGTGTTAAATCCAAAAGGATTTGGGTTGTCTGTACTGGTAGCAAAGCACATCTCCGGGATCATAGGGAGTGATCGTTTCGGCATCAGAGCTTTTTGTTTCTGCGGAGACCTGGATTCCGCCGAGTCAGAACTCACCTGAATAATAAATTTTCTTGTATACATAACAATGCTCATCCAGCAGGCTAATAAGAAAAGAAGTTTGGACTCGTCTGTCCTGACTCCTGGCCATGGCATGACATGTGTATGTTCTTTGACAGTTGGCAGTGTATCTTAGCCCTTACATCATTCATTTTCAAATTAAAAATTCAAGTTTTTTATGTGGAGAAGTTGGCAGTAATTAGCTGAGAATTTGTTACAAGTTGGTATCCTAACCCCTATACATAACAACACAGTAGCCACAAGAACGCCCAAATCACAAGTGAAGAGAAGCAAAATCATATAATACAGAAGAGAAGCAAAATCATATAATACACAATGTACCGTAGTTAATCATGAAAATAAAATCTTTTTTTTTTATTTCTAAACAAGAGGTAATAAATTTACTCAAATTGATGATAAAAAAAAAGAAACTTGTTTAAAAATTACTAAAGGTTTGACTTTATCTCAATATCCTTGAAAGACAAGGAACACATTAATACCCCAAGCAAAATAAATACATGTTACAAATTAAGCCAAAATATCTATTCAACGAGATTTTGCATAAAAATACCCTTCCTTGCCATTTGATATCCAGCACCAAAAATGAAAAGGGAAAAGTTTAAGCCAGTTGAAGCATCAATGCAATAGTAAAACAATCATACCTCTTATAATTTTGATCTTTAATCCTTGGGATGGTTAAAGAAATTAAGTAAGACAAGTGCATTACCTACATTTGATTGGAAAGAGTGTCACAGGAAGGTAAAAATTCTCACCTTAAATGGCACAAATAAAGCACATATACAGCAATGAGGAGTGTGCTGGGAATAGTTTCTGTTAAATTTCACCTCTGCATCGAAATCCAGTGGGAAATTCTGCCACAATCCCTTCAATGGTTTCATCCACTCGGCATTCACATCTATGTTTTCACCTAAATAAGGTTGACAAAACAAAGTTATTTCTCTTCTCATCATTACTTTGTGATGCTTTCTTCAACAAAGGCTATTTGTAATAAAACTTATACCTAGGCTTGCCAGAATATTTGTAATTCAGTCCAGGAATTCTTCAAATTCCACAATGTTGTTGATTTTAACAACCATTGCATAATTCAAAACTTGAACTTTAGAAGCAGAATCAAGTTCTATAAATTTTATAAGCTAATCTATTTCACTATCTTAATCTTAAGAAAAACTTATTTTGATATTGAAATCCTTAAAATGTCTACAGGAAAGTTTTATTTCAAAACCTGAACAAGTCCATTCCAAATCATTGAGGAAATACTTTCTCATCTCACTACACTTCCTTGATATAGCACAACTTTTGGTGTCTTACAAGGTGTGTTTAATTGACCCAACATTTTTATCATTTAAGAATTTACCTTTCTTTGAGTTTTCCTCTTTTGATTTTTTTAATGGGTTTCTCTTTTTACATTTGCCAGAATCGTCTTTTTTCTTCTCGTTCCCTTTATGCTGCCTACTTTCCTGGATTTCTTTTAACTTGCCCTTGGCAGATTTACAGTTCTGTATATATAAACATAGTCACAATACATAAATAAGCTTCAGTTATGAAATACATCAGTAATAGGAGTACTCATTTTGAATAACACAGGAGAAATACATATTTGTTTACTAATACACAGTTCAGATGAATGAAATGTAGAAAAGTAATAAATGGTAAAACATTCAATGACTGTTATAAGTATTGACTTCAAATATCAAATCACAACTTCTTTTCTTATTACATTCATATATTCTTTGATCCATATGCTACTCTAGATCAAAAATGTAAGCATGCTAGAAATAATTTCTTAACAATAAAGACTAAAGATCAAGGTTTTCATTTTTGAATTGCAAAACCTTGCCCCCAAATTTCAATCATAAAAGATAACCAAATATATTATTTTTATTAAGAATTATAAATACCTTTTTGGTTGGTGATACATCACCAGGTAGGAAAGTATTCTCCTTCACTCCATCAGCTGCTGATTTACGTCTTTTCCTATTTTCAACCTGCCGCCCCTGTCCAGAAAATGCATTGTAACTAGTTGTTTGTATGATAGTTGATGATGGCTCTAACCCATTGCTAGTCATAGGGTACACCGGCATACCATCTAAATCTGATCTGAATGAGCTGGATAGACTCATTGAATTGCTGCCGACAGAATAATTGGATAAAGTGTCAGGTTCACTTTTAACACTAACTGAATCACCCTCAGACTCTAATTTTAGAATCGGTGCTTCCATTTCAAGCATGGGTGCTTCCATTTCTAGAATAGGAGGTTTTACATCTTCACTTTCTTCACCATCCAACAATTGCGATGGGATAGCTCCACTGTACAATGAGGGGTCAGAAAATAAAGGCTTCATATTTGACATAGTTGAAGCAAATGTTTGTGAGATTGGGACGATAGGTTGTGGAACAAGTTGCATTATCTTATTAGGACTTTGCAACCTTGGAGGTGGCGACACACTCAAAGATTGGCGATGTAATGAAACATCACTCTTTGCTTCCTTCAAAAAAGGAGAGTACTTTTCATCACTATTTGAGTTCACTTCAACACACACCGCACTGTATTTCAAGTCTTTTACATCAATGACTTCTTCTTTAATTAAATTACCATTAACATTTCTTGTCAACAATAACTTATCTTTGCCATTTCTTTGTTTGTTTGAATTATCTGTATCTGTATTATATATCGATCTTAAACCCATATCCGAGTTAGAAACCAACAATGAATTTTGTGTAACAACGTTTCTAGGACTCACTGACGATGAAATTGTCATTAGAGTATTTGAAACAGCAACAGAGTTACTCACTATTGGTGTCATTAGCACATTTGACTTTGTATGGTTTATAATTTCAGTCTTATTAGGCAATGTTTCATTTTTCAACGCTTTAGCACTAGTAAAACACCTGCCTGTAGAATTGTTAACCAATAGAAGTGGAGCAGCTGTGTTTAAATTGCTATTTGAGACAGTTGTCTGCGACTGCAGCATAATTTGACCAACCTGATTTTGTTTCCCCTGTGATGAGATAGCAGTAACAGGACTGTTACCGGCTGGAGTCTGCACAACACTACCAGAAATATCGCTGGTGGTGGACCTCATCACAGGGATATTCAGTAAAAAAGTCTGATTTCCATGTGTTACAATTCTTGACTGGACATTTGCATTCACTGGATTGCCAGTTACGTTTGCCATACCTAACTGCACTAAACCCTGATTTGCCATAGCAACTAATTGCGGGCTTGTTATCACATTTCTCACTTGCGTCTGATTAACACTAGAACCAGTCAAACTCTGCTGAACAACTTGAGGACGTAACAGCATTCCCTGGTTATTTGCAACAGTCTGAGCTTGTATTTGTGAACTGAATTGTTGTCTGACTAACAGAGGGTTCACCATTTGCCCCATACTCAATACCTGTCCACCGACTGCCTGCGTTACATTTTGAGTTTGTGTGGCAGTTGGGAGCGGAATTAGTTTTTGTCCATTTGAGATCATTCTTATTCCTTGTGAATTCACTATCTGCCCTTGTTCAACATGATGATTTAATGAGGATGAGGCAGGATTCTGACCAGAACTATATAGAGATACACTCGGAGTATGCTGTGTATTTAGAGCCTGATGTAGAGAATTATGTACTTGTGTATGCGATGAAGACATAGATGAAGTATTTACAACTTGGGATAACACAGGTGGAGATTTTAATGACGGTGAAATAACCTGCTTTTGAACAGGTGACTGGATTGATGATAATCTGGGTGGTGATTTATGCTGCTGACCTTGAAGCTGGACATGATGCTGTGTACCTGTAGGGGACTGAATTCTAACAATACTAGAATTAGATGATCTCCCCTGCGGTGACATTCGAGTTGTCATCAATGGAACATTTGAAATCCTATTACTCATCTGAACAGGGGACATTTGCTGATATCCACCTTGTACAGCAAAACTTGAAGGAGATTTCTGCCGTCCTGGGGATTTCATAGAGGTACAACCGGACCTCAATATTGCTGGCGATTTCACTTCATGTGGTAATTTCTTGCTGTTGTTAGCTAGATTAACATCTACCGTCAAGCTGCTACAATTTCCCTGAGATCCTGGTGCATGCTGCAATTGCTGCTGAACTGACTTTTGGACATCAGATTTCGGCTGACTTTGTAACGCAGATGATAACTTGTGAATTGTAAATAACAGATTCATGTCTGTATGGTCACCTTGTTTCACAGTCTTTGAATTGTCAACTTGACTGGCAAGCTGTGAAAAGTCTAAACTACTAGATGCTGAGTTTTTACCAAATTCTTTACAGTACATAGGATTAGATGGATTATTTACAGATTGCATTAATTTACTTGATACTGTTTCACCAAAAAGTTGCGTGGGGTAAACAGATGGCTGATTGGATGCAGTACAATTACTGTTTAAATCAGAGGTAGTCTTAGTATTAAACAATCCTTTACTCGAATGATCCAAATACTTGTGAGATTTTGTAGACTGTTGTTGGATAATGTCATGTGTTAACTGAATAAGTTCCTGTCCCAAGTCTTTATGTTTCTCTACTAAATCCTTCGGTAATTTGCACTCTGTTTCCGGTTCATTTTTTACCTTATACTCCGAGCTTTTCTGCTCATTCAAATTTTTTGCTGCCATTTTCTTCTTACAAACGTAATTATGTTCATTGCTATTTGATGGGGTGTTTGTTGCCAGTTTATTTCTTTCATGGACGTCGACTTTAATGAGATGAGATGAAGCATCTAGATTGCTATCTTTCTTATATTTCTGAAGAAACTGATCAGTTTGATGCTTTAACTTTTCAATATCTTCCTCCAGATTTGCTTCAACTTTATTCTCACTCTTAACAGTAACAGTTTCATTATTTTCTGTTTTTTCCTCTACTTTTGCCTTTTTCACCCTTGGTTCCTCCTCAACTCCCTCTTTTTTTATTTGAAAAATGCAATTATCAGCCACTGTATTTCCATCAGATTTATCATTATCAGTTGTTGTAGAGCAGTAATGATTACGCTTGGCAGCGTTTCTACGTCCCAGATTCCCTTCCGATATAGAATATAAGAAAGCCTCTTCAAATGTTTTAAATTGTTTCTTTTCTTGAACTTTTGCTTCTGGCTCAACTTTGGCTACTGTACGACGACTGTCATTCAAATAAACATCAATTTTTGTCCGACTTGTTCCAACTGTAGCATCACAATTCTCTGTGTCTGACTCAGATTTTAACTTCTTACGAGAGATTCCCTTACCTTTTGTTTCTGATGTGCTACCTTTTAATGTACTTTGTTCCATTTTTGAAGCTTTTACATTTCCTTTCTGTTGTTCTTTCTTTGCTTTACTTTCTACACTTTCTGACTTTTCAAAATCATCAGTTTCTGTATCACATTCTTCTATTTCCTTTAATTGCTTTTTCATAGTTTGTTTCTTAGTGTTCAATTTAGTTTCACTTTCTTTCAATTTTACATCTTTTGGATCTTTCTTAAGAACTTTCATAGCTTTCACATAGGGAAGAGCAGCCACCTTTCCGGCTTCATCTGTTGTCTGCTCAGTGGGTGCTGATTCAGTTTTCAACTTGGGTGGTCGACCTCTTTTCTTACTTCGCTCTTCAACGTTATTATCTTCTTCTTCTGAATCTGATTACAACAAAAATATATAAATCTTCATTAAATAAATAAAGACAACACTAAACAAACGCTACATGCTTTGACGATAATAATAAAGAGAACTGAAGGAAAGGAATCTGAAACATTTTCAGTAACTCAATAATTACAATTCACCCCATCACCTTCAATTGCCCTATCCCATCATAACAAGAGCCTACTTGATAAGTGGTTAAAGTTGTCAATTTCGATCATCTGTACCTAATCATGGTACCTTTGTATCCTGCAAGGGACAATGAATTACCACATGTAAGGAAGCTATCCAACTTTACCACATGTGAGGAAGCTATCCAACTTTACCACATGTGAGGAAGCTATCCAACTAACTTGTGGATGTATAGGATTCTATCACAATGTCAATTTGTGTCCGATATAAAATTGACCTCCCTGGTATCTTTCTCCACCAGCAAATTCTGCCCAGTTACCTTAAGATCTTCCCAGATTGACTCACAACAAATTTCCCCTATCCTTATGAGTTTGACATTTAAAACAAATTTCCATACCTGTAGTCTTAATTTTAGATATGGGATGTCTTTTAGGTCCAATTCTTCCAGAAGAGTTAGGCTGTTTTCTTGTATCACTAAAAGTGTGAGAAAAATGATTAAACTTCCTACTAAAGATTACATATCAAGCAGTGCATTTTTTCAGGCTAAAGTGGACACAAATCTTTCTTGTAAGACCAAATTTCATCTTCTCTTAACAGCTATTAACCCTAAAGGTTACAGAAAAGTGACTTTACACACTCAACCACACTTCATTATTCTTTATCACAAAGAATAAGTAAGAAAGTTCACCTTGCACAAAAAAATAGTAGTCCAGTAAAACACATGTAGTTTGTATATGATTAAACACAGTCTGATCAGGATCCATGCAGTTCGCTGTCAGTTTCTCTACTTGTTATAGGGTTTGTAAGCGAACAGCATAGATCCTGATCAGACTGCGCATCCGCGCAGTCTGGTCTGGATCCATGCTGGTCGCAAACACATTGCGTTGGTTTTGTCATGGTATGGCTCATTTATGTATATTAAAGTTTAAACATCCCTGTGTCAACGTACGATTTACAATACTCATTCAACAATTATATTACCTGTGTTTATACAGTTTGCTTTGATCATCCTCAGGGTGAGCAGCCAGGTCTTTACCAGCTTTCCATGCTTCAAACTTCTCTGGCTGGAATCTCTTTACAAACGTATCCATTTCTATTTTCACACCATCATTCCTACACTTGCACTATGGACAAAACAACAGTATTTTAACAATATACATAAGCTTTTTACTTTTTTTCAATTGTTTATCTATAAAAGAAATAGCTACTTTTAAAGATGTTTTTATTAACAGAATCAGAACAACCTATTTTATTTTCTCTGGCAGCCATTTTGGGGTCAATATTCTATATAATAATATAATTGACCGAATATAAAAAAAATCAATATAAACAGCCGATTTAAGTGCATTATCAATTTTTTTTTATACATATGAAGGAAAACATTTTTATCAAAGCACTGATATGTAAAAGATTTATCATCAATTTTCATGAAGATGATAGAATTATAAGAGATTTCTATCTTATCTTGAGAATATAGTACTATAGCTTCAAAATGGTAGTCAGGGTAGGTAATAATTGCTATGTGAAAAGCATCAAAACAGATATATACCATTCTAAAGTACACATACAACTGACAAATAAGCTTGCTAACAAGTACCGAGCTTTACCATTTTATGAAAAATATGAAATATACCAGGGTGTCCGTTTGACCCTTGAAATGACTCTTTGACCCTTCAAATTTCCAAAAGGCCAGATGTGACCCTCAGGATTTTAACTGGAGGGTCAAATTTTGTTAAAATCATGGGTAAAACTTTGTCTAAATGACCCTCAGGATTTCATGGCTAGTGAACACCCTGTATACTTATCATTAATTTATGTAAATTTGTACTTTAGTATAGATAGTATCTCAAATTGTCATTTTTTAGGAGATTAAAATTCATATCAAAAGTATCCAATCATGTCTATGATATGCTTGACATGCTGGTTAAAGTGTACTTTCTGCTGCTTAAATTACCTGCTCAAAGTATGTTATATGTGTGTAACTTTCAAGATGACTAAAGGTGTTAAATGACTGTGTTTCTAGTATCTTGACTATGATAGCTTTATAGAATAACTGTTGTCCCTTTACACATAACTTCAGGCTTTAGCAGGCATCTTAGTCAAAACTACTGAATGTATTGCCACCAAAATTGCTAGTTCTTTTCATGACTTAACTTTTGTTTTAATAGTTACAATTCAGACACAGAAAAACATAAAGCTAACCTGTAGACATCTCTTTCCATACTCTATCCAGCGAAGTGAAGCAAAGTTTGTAGACTCGGCACAGTTGAACCCATGATTATACCCAGCATGATAACCGTAAGGAAATGTGATCATAATTTCTCCAGCCTCTTGAGTTATCTAGAAATTAAACCATTCATTTCAGCATTTTTAAGTTTTAAAAACACAAATATGTGAGCGAGAAAAGTTATCCTTATGCTTATTATATAATAAGTGTTCACAGTGATAATACAGTATTACTGTAATTAATAACTAAATACCTATAGTCAACAATTAAAGCCATCAATTAATTAGATTTAGATTTGATGCAATAATGACACTATCAAAGCCATTTTTTCAATTTACATTAAAAACTTCAATAGGGAAAGAATGTCTCTATGTGCCCTTCCATGCACTTCACTCTCAGCCTTGTGCAGAAAAAAACCATCTTAAAAAAGAAGCTCTAACTCCTTGAAAAATTAACTTTATAAGGTGGTTAAAATGGTTTCTACCATATTGGTTATTCACTAGTTAAAGGATAATTTTAATGCTATTATTGTTACTCTAAAATTAAACATTACAAGAGCATACTGATACAAGAAGCTCAAAGGTTCAGACTAAATTACCTTTGCTATTGAGAAAACTTACCTTCAGATGGAAGTTGAGTAAGGACAGTTGATTATTAAACAAAACTTACCTTATCATACGGTATGGAGTACTGTCTCAATACTTTAGGTGAAATCAGAGTCATCTTGTGTCTTAAAAATGCTGGACAGGCTTGAAAACTTGTGGGGAAGAAACCTGTAAAGGTAAAAATAGAGTGTCCACATTCTGTGCAGTACAATGTATCAATGAAATCAATCTTTTACAGAGCCAACAGTGCAAGAAGTGTATGGCAGCCAGGGGCTTTTACAGAGCCAACTTTAAAATGCAAACTTTGTAGCAAATATAATAACATAAAATAAATTGCTTTGTCGCCCAAAAATATTTAATTTTTACTAAGAATATGAATGTTCATATTTCACATTTCCCTCACTGCAATGAAGTAGAGAATGAAAGGACATTTATGAAAATTGATGGTCCATTCTGATTTCCCTGTAACTAAACGATATTGGAGTGGCAACTTGTAAAACATGTAAAAAACTCATTGAACTTCTTACTTTATCTTCAGGTTTAAACACAACTGAAAAGTGGTATTACATTTCTATCCTTCCATCAGAAAGACTATTAAACAGACATAATGTTATATATGATATTAGAATATCTGTCTAATTTACCTTGAGCCAATCTCTCGAGTCTTTTACCATGCTCTGGCGGAATACAGTACCAGGTTTTTGGTGCCCCAAAGTGGATATAGTTTATACTGTAAAGATCCATGTCTTCTGTGTGCCAAGCAAATGTTGTCTTCCACATCCCAAAGTACAAGTATGCGGTGTTCACACCTTCGATTTTAATTCCATAATCACTGCCAACAAAATCAAGAATGGACCCCAGCTTATTAATGTTCCATGACTCTTGATCTTCATCTGTAAGTGTACCAGAAATATCAGCTCCATACATCGGGTTGACAAATGTAATATTTTTCCAGTATTTTCTGTCCAGTTCATCATAGTCAAAGTGTTTTGGTGTACGGAATCTGTGAAAAAAAACAGGTTTAAAAATTAAATGTCATATGAATCATAAAAACAATTCAAAATCTAAAGATACCATTTTCTAGTTGATTCTTTTATCATACAAGTGCAATGCTATAAGGTCTCGGAGCTCTGACATGTACTGCACCTTCAAGAATAAATATAAAATAATCATAGATTTTTTTTGTTACACAAAACGAACAGTAGCATGTGTTTAAATGCGGTGAGTGGTGAAATCTGTGTGCATGAAATGATCAGGAAAAAGTATTAATAGGTATTAACCTTAACCATATAACATAATATCATTTGTCACAACACATTAAAATCTTGTTTTTAACTTAAACAAAGCTACATTTTAAGCCAATGAAAAATTAAATATCATTTATTTCCTCCGAAAAGCTTAGACCACTTCTCAACTTTGGATGCAAAATTAGACTTATCTACTAACTACATGAGTGCATGTATTATAATTCATTGTACAATTTTGCTTACCTCTCTCCATTTGCAAGTTTTTCAAAATCTTTTACATGAATGGATTTCTTCTGTATGTTATACTGTGTATAGAGCCCCTGGCTGCCATACACTTCTTGCACAATTGGCGCTGGTATAGTTATATCAAGATCATCATACCCGGCCTTCCTAGGTACCCACTCTTTTGGTGGAATAATCTGAAAGAAGTGGAGTGAAAGATTATGAAATTGAATATTAAGGTTTTAAATGCATTACATCCTTGAAATAATCTGAAAGAACTTAGTTTTTACACTGGTCTATTACTTACTTTAAAAGAACTTCTCAATAAATATTTCAAGAAACAGGACTAGCAATGAACAATAATTAATTTAAGCACATTTTACAACAAATTCTATCCAAAATATCTATACATTTTTTACATGTTATATCATTATAAAATACATACAAAATTTAGTATGTTAAATAGTATCAATAAATATGTTTATTTAAAATCAATGTTTACTCTGATGTGTTACCTTGGCAACTCCAGCCTTATGAGCACCTTGTGATTCAATGTACTCTATATATTTATTGAAGTCCTTAAACTCTTCCCATGTTGGCCTAAAGACCATAATCTTTGGAATATTTGTTCCACCACTTGAAGACTCCATTTTGCCAGTTCAAGCATTTGTCTGGCTAAAAAATGCCCTAAAATTTAAACAAAGCATGAAATAAAGGTGTCATGTGCAGCCTGACCAGGACTCAAACCCAGGACCCTCAGAATACATTTCTGCACTCTTTATCAAGTAAGCCACCTGACTGCTCAACTGCTTACATATTTGCACTGATAAATATAATCATCCTCAAATTTCTAATATCAAATTGTTATCTGGAATTTGGCAAATGTGGGTTTTTCCAAGATAATCTTCCGGTACAAACAAACTTTTACCATTATAATTACGATATAGCATCACAGTGCAGTACCATTCATAACAGATTTGTTTCGCTTGTTTTTCGAAGCTGTAACTGTTTGTTTGTAGCCCGACTAAAATATTTTAATTACCAAGTAAGTCTATTTGTACAGAGAAAATGTGAATTGACATGAAGCTATATATGCCATTATAACATTTTGTTCACATTGGGAATTTGTGTACACAGTGTATAAATTATCAATTCAATGTGTATAGTTTAATAATCACTGTACTTAATACAGCTTGTCAGAATCGGTGAGACAGGAAAAGAAAATTCTATTCATGGTCTCTGGTACTTTCACACATTAAGAAATTACAACAATTATTTTTAACAACATGAAACAATAAGATAATACGTGAGAATTAGCAGTTCCAACCAAACAATATTTAGAAATAGGCTATAAAATAAAAACATATCCAAAATGGCTTCCAAATCAGGCTACACGGCATACATAAATCAACACACAGGAAATGCTGAACATCGCCAAACCTTATTTCCACATTAAATGAACTAACACGCTTGGTTTTTATTGAAAGAAACCAAGTGTAACTTCCTAACCTTCTATGTTTACTAGATTTATCTTAAATTTCCTCATCGCCGAGTTTGTTGTGATTATGAAAATGTCAAAATAATCGAGATGTATATATGCCACAACGATTTAAAATCGGAGTGAAATTTACTTTTAAAAACATGAAGTATTTATTGCAGAATTGAAAAGCATTGGAAATTACTATCGACATCACTTACAAAAGTGGTAACCGTCCAACAAAATTTCTACTGTCACATCTCAAAATGGCTTACGTGACCATGAACGTGAGCCGAATAACTCAAAATTATAAATCTCCGCAAATATAGTCCCTAAAATTATACTCGTTAGTTTAAAACTTCATCAGATTTGCAAAACAAATGGGTAAGCCTCGTGTATGTGTTATTGGATTGATTCTGATGCAGCCGATTCAAAATGTATATATTACTATATTCCTTTTCCGAGTACACGCGTATTATTTATATGTCAACGCATACATTTGCAATGATTCGAAAGAAGTGCGTTGAATACGGTATAGTCTGTTTCAAATTCTTTAGAATCGGGTATTTCTTCCCTTTCATGTCATGTTTATTATTACAAAATCGGAAAAAAAGTTTTTGTTTACAAATGTTATTATTTGCATATAATCATGGATTTACATTAGATCTAAATATTACATTTACGTCTGGCCTGCTCAAGTTAACCCAATGTCAACCTTACCCCGACGGGCCATGCAGAGAGGCCTTCCTTAGTATACAAATTGATATTGTAATTCTCAGAATTTCTCAGACAGACAGACATGTTAGTCTTAATTTTAAGCCCTTTCCGTCGAATTTCGGATAATTAGGGACCAAACGTTTAACCTTGCCTATAAAATCAATCAAGCAAGCAATCAATCAATCAATAAATCAAGCAAGCAATCAATCGATCAATAATTAATGTTTATGCTGAAATAATCGAACCATTTGATTTCATTATTATAAGTCATATGATGTAAATTGGACTATTCTTTGCTTACATGAATGACATGTACATGAATGACATGTACATGTATAGACTACACTCATTCAAACAAAACATGCAGTAACAGTGACTTTATTTGACAGATCAATGTTCGTTCCTGTAAGAATTTGTTTCTTAAATATCAGAACAAAAAGTATATAAATTAGAAATACATATATGTTGTTTAAAAGAAAAGATAATAAAAAAACTGTTCAAAAGCTTGATATTGTAAATGTTTACATCGCCGAGATATATCTCTTTTGTTAAATATAGATTAAATGATGAAACTGGGACATAAGATATCTTATGTCCCAGGATGAAACAAAAATATCTAAGCCATTATTTTTTAAATGTCCTAGTCTTTTTGCCAAGCGCATATAATTTTCCAAATAAGTTATTTGATACCATATATTACAAAAAAATGTGTTCATCCAAACAGGTACGTATATTAACGGTATCCGCAACTCTATACAGTAAATCAATAACGGTAAATTATGCTGTCGTGGCAGATAATCCATCCAGACTGCCGATCGTTATTGATTTTTATCGACGATTACATATCATTAAGCGGTGTGATATTTGACCTTGGTTATTTAAATTACCGTCAACATGTTATTTTCTGTTCAATTTTTTAAAAGTAACATATTCTAGAAAACTGAAAGATAGATTTTTTCAAATATATATTTTATAAATCAGTGCGTTTAGTATGAAGAAAATTACGACGAGTTAAACACAGAGTTTGTTTTTTTTGTCTCCCGATTATGTCAAAACTTCAGTAAAAATAATGATGCCCTCTTCGAACAAATATAAGATTTTTTCGTAATTTATGGTCCGAATTTAGCAAAATACCTATCAAAAGAAAGCTGAGAATTTGATCTTTTTAAACGTGTAATTATCATTTACAAAGCTAAATTATTTCCGGAATTGTAACGAGTAAAAAACGCAACTTTTACTACCAGCCAATCGCGACTGCACACGAAAGAAATTTTATATACATGTAGTAACAAGTTATTATTGTTTCGTCATTTTTTTGCCGAAATTTGTGAAAAATTATTTATAAAAAGCTTATAAACTGTTGTTTTAATTTTTTTATTTTTCAATTTCTATTGCGTATCTTAAATAAATGCGGATAAGATATCGTGAAGAATCACATGACCAAAATCATCTTGCATATTTCGAACGCAACTTTTACCATATATTTAACTTATTAAGCCCTTAATATTTTTTTATTTGAACATTGTTTTAAAGAATGAAGTTATCTATCTATCTATTTTTAAAATTGAATAAAAGTATGATTATATAATTTTCAAACTGCACCAGAAAAGAGCTCTTATAAAAATGTTCGTTTTCTCAGGTACATATATTTTTCTGAAAAACGGCCTAAACATTTTTTGTTATGAAAGTATTGTGAAAAATAAGTACATTGTACCGTCATAATTGATGTTTGCTGCAGATTCAGTAATTGATTTAATCACGGTTATTAATGTGCATCTATTTAATTGTTCAATTGTGATAGTTTTCACACTTTTTCTATCAGTCGGTCCTGTTTGAAACTGCTTTTTAGTGGGTAAGGCTAGATTATTACTATATCCAGTTAATTGTTTTTATTTAAAACATATTCTCTGTGTTGCTTTTTATACAATTATATTGAGCAAACTGTTTCACCACTACATATGTCAGTATCTTTCAGGTTCTCTTGAATGAACGTACATTTTTTCGAGAGAATAGACATAAAGGTATTGGAAATAGTAGTATCAGGTACCTGGTAGTAAAAAAAAAAGAAATAAAAATGAAAACACATTTATATAAGTTTTGCCTTTTATTTTATAACTGGATTTACATAAAACTTCAATAGCATCGCACTGGCTATAAAATGACTGTTTATAGTGTTTTCATTTAGTGTCACTTTATTCCCGAAATTTATTTGACACTTCTGGGACTCTCCTGGCACAAGCTGCAAATCTTTGAACTTTTGGGCTGTATCAGCATTCAGTGAAATTGTCGTGCTGATCTACCACTTGAAACCCTTGAAGCACATTTGTTACGATCTGAAATAGATGAAATGACATTTAATATAAATATTTTGTTTTATCAACAGAATAACCATGTACTAATGTTAATATACGTACCTGGAATAACTAACAAAAAAGAAGTTGAATATAACTTCTGAGTAAATGAAAAAAAAAATGGGGGAAATTTCATCCATTTTCAAAAGACCATAGCATCAAAAATATTCAGTTGAAAATTATAAATAATACCACACCCCATTCACAATAATGTAGTAACTAACTTTAAAGCTTTCATTTGTATTTTCAAGGTCTTTAGATACCTCTGATGTTTGGGCCAAAATAGGTCGTGAATTTATTTTTGCACCGCAAAAATTTACAAATTTCCTTCAAATTTCACGCCACAAAAACAACAGATCAGATGATGAGGGAGCCTTAAAAGTACCAACATAACTTACTTTAATATATTCTTAACCGATTTGTGCAAGTTTAATCAGTTTTCTACAAGTAGGTTAAGCCTGATAACTCTGCAGATTTTATACATGTTCACCCGTTTTTAACAAATATCCGCCATTTTGTCGATCTCATTCATACAGACTGGAAATTTCCACACCCGATTTACGCCATTTGGAAGCGTAATCTAGTAAAAATACAGGTACATAACAAAAACATAAGACTTACCTGTCATTATTTCTTGAGTATTTTGTGCCGATGCTCGTAAATTAACACTTAATTTACAGATTTTTCATCAACAAAAATTGCTCCGTCCGCCATCGATTAAATTTTTTGGTAGCATGTGCGCATGCGCACGACCGACACGACAGCAATCTCGGTCTAAAACCTTGTTGCGGATACCGTTAATATACGTACCTGATCCAAAGCATAGAACACCAATGAAATATCAAAACCAAAATATTGAGAATTAAATACCTTTGTCAGCAAAAACTCAACTTGAATATTTCTCAGTAAATGTGGCATTCGTGACATAACAATCTTTCAATGAAGATGAGTGGATGTCATGTGTAATTTCCAAAGTAGTATGGTATAGTTCTAACGAACAATAGATTAGGATGGAATACTCATTGTCCTAGTATTTTTACTTGTAGATCATAACCACCGCATTATATAACCAGGAAGTTAAAGTTTTACTTACACAATTATTTCCCGTACCCAGTTTTACACCAATTCATACTTTCCAAAAACTATATAAGATATATTAATAAGAACAGTACGTCCTTCAAATGCTGATTTATTGGTCAGATATCGCAACATATCGCGACAAACAAACAAAGCGCTGAAACAGATGTTTTGATGTTTTCCCATCGACCATGTAAGAATATTGGCAGTAGATAATTAAATAAATGCATTTAAATCATGCTTCTTGTACGGTTAATTATTGCCACAAGAGTGAAGTTCTAAAACAACTGAAAAGTAACCTATATAAAATAAGTTTCAGTTGACTCGTATATTGGTACAGGCATTTCATTCTTGCGATTAGTTCAATGTTTCTTGCCATTACTTTTATGTCTTTTGTGTTTACATCTTTGTTTCTTAACTGTGTTTAGTTTTATGTTTCTTGTGATTACTTTTATGTTTCTTGTGTTTACTTTTATGTTTCTTGTGATCACTTTTATGTTTCTTGTGTTTACTTTTATGTTTCTTGTGATCACTTTTATGTTTCTTGTGTTTACTTTTATGTTTCTTGTGATCACTTTTATGTTTATTGCGTTAACTTTTATGTCCCTTGTGATCACTTTTATGTTTCTTGTGTTCACTTTTATGTTTATTAACATGTCCGTGCTCTGTCTTGTGCCATGTCCTGTTTTTGTTTAGAGTCCGCCTGGGCGCTCCTTAATTGCCACTGGTTCTTGTTGCTGGGTCGTATGGGGGGTTGCGTTCATTGAACGCCGCCATTCCTTGTTGATCTTATTTATATTATCATATTTTATTGCGTTAACTTTTATGTCTATTGTGTTTATATCTATGCTTATTGTGTTTACTTTTATGTTTCTTGTGATCATTTTTATGTTTCTTGTGTTTACTTTTATATTTCTTGCGATTACTTTTATGTTTCTTTACTATTTCATCGTTAATTTTTATTCTGGACAACGTTTTGGTAAATATACCTTTTTTAAATACGTTTAACAAATATTCGTATTATTGCCTTGTAACTAGGGTTGTTAACACTTTAGAATATCAGAAGTTATATTGTAAGATGTAAATATTTATGCTCTCATAACACACTAAAATCACGAAAAATCTATACATAGCTTTAAGTATCTTATCATTATTTTCTTTTGGAACATGCCGACGTTATAAAATGACCTTCAATTTTACGTTGATAACTGGAATAGTGCGTGTGGAATTAAAGAATTGTTTGTGAAAATTGTAATTCACCTTAAAGAGATTGCGTCAATTATGACCATTTCTGTGAAAGGGACGCTTGTAGTTATTCTTCTAATTTTTTTCTGCACGTGTTTCGCACGAGATTATAATGATGTTCCTGACGGCGGTGATGTTGATAACTCCTTTTTGGCTGAACATGGATTTGACATGGATCATGGATTTATGAATAACAGACCTCATACAGATGAACATTTAAGGATAATGTCATCTATGATGATACATTATATAATTTCTAAAGGTTGTGATTATATAAGCGCGTGAGTATAATTAGGTATCATGAGTTGGGGGGTCCGTAGTTGGGGATTTGGATCGATTAAAGCGACTGCCTCGAATAAGCATATTAAGACGCTAAAATCGGTGCTAGTCCTCCCGCCCAGCAGAAAAATCAGGGTAGCTTGGATATTACTTCTCACTATTTTTAAAAATGTTTGCATGTAGGAACGTTCTTTTGCGTTCAAAACACGCCATTTTTATCATAAATGAAGCTCCATCAAAGTCAAAAAGCATTTGAATTTTTTATATAGACTAAGTGGAAAAAGGACTTTGTGAAAAAACGGGGCGAGGGAATGATCTGAAAATTTACACATGTTATTTGTCCATATTTACATCAAATGGTACACACATCTCGGGGAAACAATTTTCAATCCCGTCAAGTCAAAAACCCCTGTGGAGTCCATAATCATACGGATATTGCGTAGAGGTAACTTTTCTCTTTCAGGGATGCCGGGGTTCGTACTCACTGTGTCCACAAAAGGCACAAGGACTAATGGAACATGAACAACAATAAAATATATCAATACTGCAATGTTTAGATCTGCTCATTTCTTTTTATCGCGAACAAATATTGAAGGTTTAACATTCAACAGACAAAATCACAGTGACTCCTTTTTGTAGCAAAACATGTTCTTTTAACGTGCATTACCTCGTGCAAATGTTGTCTACATTTCCTGTAAAATTCGTTGGTAGTCGGTCGTTTACAACGGAGTCTCTGTTTATAGATGGTATAAAATCTTATAAAGGTAATTTTAGAACAAAAGTAAAGGACGGCTTAAGTGAATGACAATATCATGTCCATTCAAGCTTTGCAAAATCTTATCCATAAAAGGGATAAAACTTTACTTTCAGATCTGTTAAACATCACTTTAGCAGTGTTGACCACAGTCACACACATGAGTATTACCACAAAACATGCGACTGGAAACCGTGGGCGGAGAAGAAATGTGGTTTATACCACGTGCCAATGGAACTATGCTGTGCACTTATGGACTGTGGCGCGTCTAGAAGTTTGGTCGCTTTAAGAGCGCCTCACGGCATGATTGAACAGTGTAACATGACAGACGCTGCCAGAAAGAGGGACATTCATATACACACTAACCAGCCTTCAACAAGTCGGATGTGCAATCATATACAAGCATTGATATTTGGAAAACGAGATGACCATACAGAACATGTGACACAACTTTCACAGCAATTACAGTTAAACAATCACAACATAAGTGATAAATTAAGTGCATCTAACTTTAGAAATGTTAGTGTAAAGCCTGAATCAAGCGTAAGTGGCGGACAATCAAAGCGCATCCGAAGGTGGTGTAAAGTATTCAGCCGGTAAGTATAAAAACTCTAATAAATCTTATATAAAATTTATTAGATCTATATATATTTACATGTTTATATTTTCTAGAAGTGCAAGACTATTGTTGTTTTCGTTCATTTACCAAACGTCTTATCTTGAAAGATATCAGACATATCTTGAAAATATGTATCTTTCCTCTTAAGTAAACAGGTTCAAATGAAAGACCTATTCTCATCAGAATTTATATCTATATCCCTCATTTAAATGAATAATATTTATTTATAATAGATCTTCAAACAAAGAAATTTGCTCTAAGAAGAAAATGTGGTGGTACGTTACAAGGCTTCCATTAGTTGAAGTTTGGGAGTCATTATACAATGTAACTATATGAAAAAAGCCTATTGTATACCGCATAACATTTTTTTTCAGGAACGTCAGTAAGAAGTTCCATTTAAAGGAGTCCAGATTTGTCCGGCGGTCGGTATACTGGCTAGTTGACATATATAAAGTCGCAGTGGGGCATCACATGCCAAACTATTACACGCACGGACTTGTTGGATGTGGAATTGACTACGCAATGAGGGCATTCAATGTGGAAAGATGGCAAATTGAATTATACAAACAAGTTTCAAAATAAAGTTTTATTTAAAACTATATATTTCGCTATCCAAAATAAAGACGAATTACATGAACATTTTTTATTTCGCACGAGCAAGTTTCATCTTTTTTAACCTGACCGTTACCAATGCTGTTACCAATGCTAGTAGGTACGGCCATATGCGTGTTGATTTAACTAAGATTATTGTATACATATATATTGTGATATCGTGCACGTGCAGAAATATTCTCTAAAATCGCGTTTCATCTTTTTTAACCTGATGCGTGTGGTGTTGATTTAACTAAGATTATTGTATACACACTTTACAGATGTCATTTTCAATCAGTTATCCTTTGATATCGTGCACATGCAGAAATATTCTCTAAATTAAGGCAGGAAACATTTAAATTTCTGAAAAACCGGGAAAATACAAATCCACGTCTTGCCTCTAATGGCTCAAATCTTCATTAACTCGTATTTTTCTCCAACTTTTTCTAATGTCACTTATGTACGGTGGCACAATGGTGACATGTGTGTATATTTATTTATCTCGTGGCCACGAGATACTATGTCGTGGCCACGAGTTACTAAGTCGTGGCCACGAGATACAATGTACTATGTCGTGGCCACGAGTTACTAAGTCGTGGCCACGAGATAGATAAGTCGTGGCCATGAGATACTATGTCGTGGCCACGAGTTACTAAGTCGTTGCCACGAGATACTATGTCGTGGCCACGAGTTACTAAGTCGTGGCCACGAGATAGCTAAGTCGTGGCTACGAGATACTATGTCGTAGCCACGAGTTACTAAGTCGTGGCCACGAGATAGCTAAGTCGTGGCCACGAGATAATTAATCAATCAGAATACACTATATATATTATGAATTTTCTAAACTTAACAACTTACTTTTACGTGCAACATTAAAAAATTTGAAAATACTGAAGATATTCACTTTGAACTTGTCTTTAGGATCATATTAGAAAGTCACCTTCCAAGGCCCATCAGACATTAATTTTGACTATAGCTCTTTGTTAGGTAATTTTGTGATCGAATTGTTAACATTGTTTATACGATAACATGAGAAGGAATAAATCCTAGTTTATTTTATTTGGAAGGGACATTGCCCATGGACAGTAGATAGCCTAAAAGGTAAAATCCTTGTCTGATGAATAATTTAGGTTGGATAAGCTATTGTTTATATAACCCAGAAAGATCATTTCACCTGATCAGTAGATGACATCTAAAATTGTTTAGGTCATTGGGTCAAAAATCAGGGTCACTCACAGTGACGCTAAATGTAAAATTTTTGACCAGTCAATAACATTTATAAATGGCACTTTTTCAGGCTGGTGAAGTAGGGGCATCCTTGTTCTATAGCACATGTCTAGTTAATTAGGGAAATTCATATAAATGGTGTAATCTGATTTGTTATTTATCTCGTGGCCACGACTTAGTATCTCGTGGCCACGACTTAGTATCTCGTGGTCACGACTTAGCTATCTCGTGACCACGACTTAGTAACTCGTGGCCACGACATAGTATCTCGTGGCCTCGACTTAGATATCTCGTGGCCACGACTTAGTAACTCGTGACCACGACATAGTATCTCGTGGCCATGACTTAGCTATCTCGTGGCCATGACTTAGTAACTTGTGGCCACGACATAGTATCTTGTGGCCACGATTTAGATATCTCGTGGCCACGACTTAGTTACTCGTGGCCACGACATAGTATCTCGTGGCCACGACTTAGCTATCTCGTGGCCACGAGTTAGTAACTCTTGGCCACGACATATAGTATCTCGTGCGCACGTGATAAATAAAAACACACACATGTCACCTTTGTGCCACCGTAAGTCCATGCATTATACTTATAAAATATTGTTTATATGCAAGACGGTTTCTAAGCTCTTTACAAATACCTGAGAATAAGTTATTAAATATTTATATTTTAAATGTCCAAGTCGTTATTTCTTGTATCCGTTTCCGCATTTTTTGCCAGCCGCTAATTTTCCAAATAAGTTATTTGACGCCACATTATAAAACATGTAACCAAGGAACACCGATGAAATAACCAGAAATAATAAGAATTTAATACCTCTGTCATCTAGAAATCAACTTGCATAGTTCTCAATCATGTGGCATTCTTGACAGAACAATCTTTCTATGAAAATTGAAATTGTTTGATTTCCAAAGTAGTGTAATAGAAACGAACAATGATGTAAGATAAAACACTCATTGTCTTTTGTAAGCTCCTAGTTTTTGTAGATCATAACCACTGCATTACTGTATTCCTAGAAATGTTCGCGGATACAATATTTCGCGTTTTTCACAACGTCGGCATTATCGCGGAGACAAACTTTCGCGGACTTGTAGTAACCGCTAATTCCGCAAATATTAAGTCGCTACGGCCTAAATTACAGTTTTTGGAGGCTACGTTTTTGATGCATGACCTTGCCTGTTGGGTACTTTTAATTTTTTTGACAAGTTGCACCTAAAGCGCTATGTTACTCGATATATTTTCATCTATTGACTAGTCTAACACGGACGGTTGTTCCTTAAACACTTTTTACTTATTTCCTAACCTTTTTTTCACTATATGATTAAGTAAAACGTTAGCTTTTAATTAACATATGAATCATAACTGATTTTATCTTCAAAATGTCGATACGTATTTTTTACACAGTATCAGATTGTACATCAATTTTATCAATGTAGATATTTACTAATAATTGACATTTCAGGGTCCAAACAGGTATCTATCACATACATACATTATTCTAATCTTTACACATTTCTATAGCACCTGTGTGTACATTAATTGAGTTCTGAAATAAACTTTAAAAACTTTGAAACTTATAGCACCTGTGTTTATATCGTTTATGTTTTTATTTGGTTGAAGCTAGAAATGTTCGCGGATTTGTTATGAGTGACATATTCGCGGCTATAAAGATTCGCGGAGTCATGCCTACCGCGAAAAGCGCTAACTTAAAATGCGCGAAATCTTTTCTAGGAATACAGTATATCAAGGAAATTAAAGTTTCACATGCACATTTCATTCGATCCCTAATCCAGTATTACACCAATTCATACTTTCCAAGAACTATAAGATACAAGTACAAATGTTGCTGCAATGCAGCAATTGAGAAGCTCCGCGCAAAAAAATGCGCCCATTACAGAATTACCAAATCATTCCTGTGCACAGGTCATTTTTCTATTTAGATTAAGTACTAGGGCATCCAAGCAAGAAATGCAGCAAGTGACGATGACATAGTAGGCATCTGATTGCCAGTATATTCTTATAAACTTTTCAATGGTTATATATATATAATGTATGGACGAACATGAACTTTGGTAGGCTTGCTAGAGATAAGAATATTAAATGTATTTTCTGTGGAACATAAAAAACAGTTGTCAAAATGAACAAAGTCTGTTTTTTTTATTATTATTTGGTTTATTTTAATACCTGGGATAAATACTGGAAGAAGTACACACACTGGAATGAAAAATTTGTGATGAATTTCAAAAAGACCAAATTCAGGATTTTTTTTGTTATACGCGTTAACAAAAATAATGGTACATTAAAAATCATGAATAAATTTGTATGGCATGTTGACATAGATCAAAATCCTCGTCCAGTACGAAAGTTTCTGTTGATAAAATGTCACAGTATTCGGCAAATCAACATTCCACTCAAACCTACATAAAACCGATTGCCTTCAAACAAAATAGAAACAACTTCTTACAGTTAAGTTCGGGAAATCAGTGTCGATGGTAACAAAAATGTCAGAAGTGCAATTAAGGTCGTAAAAAAGAAAGGAGCAACATGTATTAATTTACCGGAAAAAAAACCTACGGAAAGGACAACTTCAAAATGATAATACTATGACATAACAACTGTAAAAATGGCTATAGCTTGGTTTTTTCGAATAATTAACGAAGAGTGCAATTTGTGGTTGAACATGTTTGCATTTCATTTCCTGCAAATTTATTATTTATTTATTACCATATAGCTCCAAATAGATTTTCGGACTTTGGTCATATATATTTATAGCTTTCATGAACAGCAATTTAGTAATTAACATGATATACGAGGGTTGTCCGGAAAGTTCGTAGACAAGACTATTAAATTACTATAAACAGTCATTATCAATATGAAGATTGAATATTTTGCTAATGTATTTATTTGCTACATATTTCTAAATTAAAAAACATCATAACAGTAATATTCGCAAAGCGCCGATCACCATGGCAACATGATCAACGAATCACGGAGCACTTTGATTTCATCACGATAGCTACTTGAGTAATAAGTTGCTAAAAGTTGTAATTTTAACGCAAACTGTCGTTTTAATTTTGTGACATCATGAGATACTATTACATGATATTTAGTGAAAATTATGACGTCATACGCAAATAAACAGCTTGTTAACGACGATTATAGGCAATGAAGGTGCGTAAATTCTGTGTTGAAAAAATGACGTCAAATTTACGGACGGAGCAACGTAATGATATTTACCTTCATAGCAACGCTAATATGGCACCAGCTGAGATTTTAATCTTTACTTTAAAAACAAAACCAACCAAAAATGTTAAAGGCAACTTGTGTTTAAATGGCAAACAAGATTAAGAAGCGGCGATGACAGTATATCGTATAAGAAACGCCCCAGACGCCTAAAGGTAGCATGGGCGAGATTTCGTATATTGCGTTACAACAACCTTGAAATAGACAGACATCTCACAACACAGTATGGGAACCAGTGACATTTTTGTTTTTAAATAATAATTTTAAATATGAAATTCATAAAGTAAAAGCAACACAACATATATTTTGTATAAGCCAGACATGTACCATGGCTGTTGAAATCGGATGAAATTGAATAGCGAATAAACATGAAGTTAATTTGACGCCGTTGACGTTGTCAAAGTGCTCCATGATGATGTAAATATGTTGTTTGTAATTACTGTTAAAATACAAACGTTAGTCATAGTTCAGTATTTTTTTTATAAATTTGTTCGCTAGATATGTATGTTTCTGCTGACAAAATTTGTTCAACGTATGTATTGTTATACAATAAAAAATGAAGAAGTATATGAACTTTCCGGACACCCCTCGTACATGTTCCTGATTATAATAGTCCACTGTATTATAATAAGGCCTAATTTGGTAATTTACGTGATGTGCACCCTCGTCATCAGCATCATAATCATTGATCAATCAGCATTTTTTTATTATACACATTTAAAATAATATTTTATTATTGACTTGACTCCTAAAAAAATAATAGATAGATAGATATAATTTATTGACGTATACATATTTGTACATAGTCATAATACAAAACACGTAATACATAAATCATAAGTCATGGTACGATCATATTGAAAGCAAACATTGTTAAACAAAAGTATATATGGAGAATGTTATTAAATCCATATTTAAACAATACAAAGTTGGCATTGCTCTTATTAATACGTTGCAAAAATGACTTTCATATATTTAATATGTAGTGAATCAACGATTCAAAATACATGATAAATAGCATACTGCCGCTTTTAATGAGCGAAATTATCATGCACATACTGGTAAATAATTTTTTTTTTAAATGGTAGATTTCTAATATTAATTATGTCATATCGACTTAGTATCAAAGATGATGTATTTAGACAAAAATAATTATTTAACAAATTAATAATTGATTTTTTTTAATTTAACATCCAATAAAATTGTTTGGTATATATCCATACACTGTTGCTAGGGTTGGCAATGTGTCAAAAGATCCTATTGGATGTCGCTTCCTTGTGACGTCACAATATTGATGACGTCTTGACAACAATTGTATTATCAAGATGGCTAACGTGATAAATGACTTAAAATTTTCCCTACAGCGTCTACGCATGAAATATGTAAGTAAAATCACTTATAATAATAAGTGCCCATATATGTATAAATTAATAAATTATATATTCTTGTTACATGTCAACTTTGCATGCAATTATCTCAATGGTAGGATACTACGTCATCGCGCACCTGCTAAATGCTCCCACTTGGACCATTTTTTCGTCGACTCAAAGGTAAAATACAATTTTATTATAAGAAAACGTAAGAGTATTAAAAAATCATGTAGCGCACCAAAGAATGGCTATAGTACTTGAGATAATTGTAAAAAAAGTTTATAGATTTATTGCCTGGTTTAGGCCTGAAAACGGGATAAGTGTTTTTCTCTGAATGCTCCCACTCGGACTTCTCCCGAAACATATATGAAATAAGGTTGAAAACCTTCTTTAAAATTATTTTTAACGTATCGGAACATAAACCGAGTCATGTATACCCATTATTCTTTATTAGTTTCAAATATTTTTATTCAACAGTCAGTCTTTTAAAGTTTTTTTTGATGAAAATGGAAAATGCTCCCACTCGGACTCGATTTCAGAGATGCTCCCACTCGGACCCAAATTTATACATTTTGAAAGCACATTGCTGTGTTAGCTTTTATGGATTATTCTCACAATTTTAACACCATTTGTCAATAACTACTGTGTTTGGCAACATTAACTTTTCATTCTTTTTACAGAGATCACTTCTTTGATTCTGTAGAATGACGTCGTTGGGCAGGAACAAGGTGCCATGGCAAAGTATCAACTGACAGGATCACTGTACAAAAAGGTGCACTTGGCTTGTGTTGCATCCGAAGGGATAATTCAAAATTATTGCCAACAACAAGCTAGAACTATAAGACTTTAAATGGGCAGTTTGGATCTCAAGAATAAAGTTTTGTTTAGATGTTAAAAAATTGTGGTGTTTTACAAAGAAGTCATTATACATTGTTTAGTACCATACCGGATTAAGATTCTGTTGGACTCATGCACATATTAGAGGCCAGCATTTATTCAATAATTGCTGGCTTTAATATCTTGTTAATAATTTAAAACCCAATGGTTTGCGTGTTTGTTAAACTTGTGATTTAGGTTTTAAAACAGCAAAATGGTACGTTTATGAACATAAAGAAGTCAATATCTATCGGTTGATTTGAATAGTTTATTAAAGAACATCATGTAAATCAGTTTTGTCATGAACTGGTTAAAAAGTCAATGTACTGCCATACTACGGCGTCACAATTATTTACAACTTTGACAATTTTAAGTATGAAAGTTATCATGTGTACGTATTTTTACCTAAATAAAAAAATAAGAAAACAAAGATCATAGTTATTTCTTTATCACAGTCTTTACCATATTTTGGTAATAAAAGATCATGTAAGTTATATTTCAGGCTGTTACCAATTGAAATTGTCTGTAAATTAAATGTATTAATATTTATGGTACTAAAACAATTTTCAAACATAAAGGAATATGTAAAATACTTACTGCAAATGCTTGAATGTCCACATTATGTGTAATCATTAAAATATACATGTATGCATAATGCATTCATTTCTTTTTGAAGATTCAACTTACACTTAATAGAAAATATATTTCTAATTACCTCCCTTTATGAAATGTAAATTCGGTATTATCTTTACAAATAATGCTTTTCGGAACATACACTATTGATAAATCTTCATTTGAACAGTATATTTATGAATAAAATCATAAAAAAATGATTTCAGGATATTTGAATGACGTTAAAATAATAACAATAATACAAGAAGGAATCACAGACAGCAAAATCCCCCGCCATAAGGAGGAAGTACATTTCAAAGGGGAAGTAACCCTTACATACGTGAAAAAATTCAAAGTAATGATACTCGTGAAAATTAATGAAAAGTTATAGCCTAGACATAATAAATCATGACAAAAATAACACTCCCATGAAAAAAAAACAAAGAAAAACAACAAAGAAGCATTAAGTGAACACTTCTGGTCCTTATGCTCTGCTATTCACTTCTATTAAACATGTTCAATATAAAGTTTTAAGTTTATATCTCAAATAGCTTTAGAGGTATGGTCCTTGCAAACTAATGATAGTGAATACAAAGAGCAATAACTCCAAAACTGGAGAGTTGTCATTCTTGTTTGCGGTATTTTACTTTATTGAAATTTATCCTCCAGTGAAATTTCAGATGAATTGATCCTTTATGACACATTGTCCAAAAATTAACGCAAAAAACTGAACAAAAGACAATTACTTCAAAGAACTATTATTCTTGTGTTTTCTAGAGTATTCCTCCTCAATGAGATATATCCACAGTTGGTATCTAAAATATTTGCTCCAGCTTTGCCGTGCCAAGATGTCCTGCCATGTGCTTCCTTACGTCGCAATGTGGTTTATACCTTTTCCCATACTGGTCACAAATTCAAATACTTTCTGCAAAACAAAACGTTATTACATTTTTAAAATGTATAAACAATTTGTTTCTTATTTAAGCGACTCTTTTAAACGAGGAATTGTTTCAACACAACTTTTTTCCCTTATACTAATCCTCTAAGAAGACATATTTACGAGACTGTTTAGTAATTTAAATATTAGTATCGTATTTTAAAAATGCTGTTTCATTGAATTCTTACTGATTATATGAATATATGAACGTGAATATAAAGATATTTTGAAAAAAATAATAATATCTTAAGACAGCAATGTGCTTTCAAAATTTGTATATATTTAGGTCCGAGTGGGAGCATCTTTGAAGTTGAGTCCGAGTGGGAGCATTTTCCATTTTTATAAAAAGAATTAAGAAAAACTGACTTTTGAATAGAAACATTTGAAACTAATATAGAATAATGGGTATACATGACTCGGTTTATGTTCCGGTACGTTAAAAATAATTTTAAAGAAGGGTTTAACCCTTTTTCTTATATGTTTCTGGAAAAGTCCGAATGGGATCATACAGAGAAAAACACTTATCCCGTTTCAGGCCTAAACCAGGCAATAAATCTATAAACTTTTTTTTACAATTATCTCAAGTACTATAGCCATTCTTTGGTGCGCTACATGATTTTTAAATACTCTTACGTTTTCTTATACTAAAATTGCATTTTACCTTTGAGTCGACGAAAAAATGGTCCAAGTGGGAGCATTCAGCAGGTGCGCGATGACGTAGTATCCTACCATTGTATCTGCTACAGCTAGCAGCTACACAGTAGGCTAATGGCAAATAAGGACGGGGACCATTCATGTCATTGCATTTAAATTTGAATTTGAAATTCTGAACTTTTTTGTCTTCGCCGTTTCCCATTAATCTTATATCAAATTCCATTTTGTGAACCTAAACATAAGGCTTTATACAGATTTATTACAAATTTATAATTAGAATCTAGATCTTCTTCAAATGGCTCCATCATCATCCACTTCATCATTATCATCGCCATCATTAAAAGCACCGTTTTATGAGGTGACCTGTTAGTCCGTGTAATGGAAGGAATAAATAAAAAAAAATATGTATCAATAAAAAATTCGAATAAATTCAAATAAATAAATAATTTTGTTTTGAACACCCAATCAGAATATTTGTTATATATCCGTAAGCTGTTGCTACGGTAGGCAATGTGTCAAGCTATCCCATTGGATGTAACTTCCTTGTGACGTCACAATATTGATGACGTCTTGACAACAGTTGTATTATCAAGATGGCTAACGTGATAAATGACTTAAGATTTTACCTACAGCGTCTACGCATGAAATATGTAAGTAAAATCACTTATATAACCGATGCTTTATGTTGGTGTTTAGTGATGTATAAATTAATGCATGATATTAGTGTTACATGTCTACTTTGTAGGCAATTTTCTGCTACAAGGTAATTGCAAAGGTGGAGGGACACCATTCATGACTTTGAATTTGAATTCTGATATTTTTTTTTTGTCTTCGCATAGATCTTATTTGTTTCCCATTCATCTTATATAAAATTCCTTGTTGTGAACCTAAACATGAGGCTTTATACAAATTTATTTGAATTTAAAATTAGAATCTACTTTAGCTAAATTTAGCTCCATCACCAACATCATCATCAACATCATCATCGCCATCATTAAAAGCCTAACACTTGTTTATGAGGTGATCTGTATTCTATTAAATAGCGTGTGTAATGCAATATATAAATAAATGAATATAGATACTGATAGATCAGTAAATAAATAAATAAATTCGTTTTGAACAGCCAATCAGAAGAAGAGGGGGTATATTGCTTTGCATTTGTCTGTCTGTCGGTCCGTCGGTCCGTAGACCAAATGGTTTCCGAGTGATAACTAAAGAACCCTTAGGCCTAGGAACTTCAAACTTGGTATGGTAATTGGTCATGACCAGTAGATGACCCATATTGATTTTGGGGTCAAGGGGTCAAAGGTCAAGGTCACATTGACCTTGTAAGTAAAAACGGTTTCCGATCAATTACTAAAGAACACTTAGGCCTAGGAACTTCAAACTTGGTATAATGATTGGTCATAACGATCAAGCAGTCAAAGGTCAAGGTCACATTGACCTTGAAGGTAAAAACGGTTTCCGATCAATAGCTAAAGAACGCTTAGGCCTAGGAACTTCAAACTTGGTATGATGATTGGTCATGACCAGCAGATGACCCCTATTGATTTTGGGGTCAAGGGGTCAAAGGTCAAGGTCACGTTGACCTTGTAGGTAAAAACGGTTTCCAATCAATAACTAGAGAATGCTTAGGCCTAGGAACTTCAAACTTGGTATGATGATTGGTCATGACCAGCAGATAACCCCTATTGATTTTAAGGTCATGGTCAAGGTCACATTGACCTTGTAGGTAAAAACGGTTTCATATCAATAACTAGAGAACACTTAGGCCTAGGAACTTCAAACTTGGTATGATGATTGGTCATGACCAGCAGATGACCCCTATTGATTTTGTGGTCAAAGGTCAAGGTCACATTGACCTTGTAGGTAAAAACGGTTTCTGACCAATAACTAAAGAACGCTTAGGGCTAGGAACTTCCAAGTTGGTATGATGATTGGTCATGACCAGCAGATGACTCCTATTGATTTTGGGGTCAAGTGGTCAGAGGTTAAGGTCACCTTGAAACGGTTTGTGGTCAATAACTAAAGAACGCTTAGGCCTAGGAACTTCAAACTTGGTATGATGATTGGTCATGACCAGCAGATGACCCCTATTGATTTTGGGGTCACAGGGTCAAGGTCACATTGACCTTGTAGGTAAAAATGGTTTCCGATCAATAACAAAAGAATGCTTAGGGCTAGGAACTTCCAAGTTGGTATGATGATTGGTCTTGACCAGCAGATGACCCCTATTGATTTTGGGGTCAAGGGGTCAAAGGTCAAGGTCACATTTACCTTGTAGGTAAAAACAGTTTCTGATCAATAACTAAAGAACACTTAGGCCTAGGAACTTCAAACTTGGTATGATGATTGGTCATGACCAGTAGATGACCCCTATTGATTTTGGGGTCAAGGGGTCAGTGTCATATTGACCTTGTACTTAATGATGGTTTCTGACCAATAACTCAACAACTAAAGTTGCCTTGGTCGATATTTTTATATTAAACTATAAATGCTTTTGGTATACACATTTGAAGGTCTTATGTAATTTAACAATTTGGCTGTCATTAATGAGGCCTACATGATTCATAAAATTTATCCATATATTATTTGGTAAGATTTGTAATAACTTAAATTGCTGCACACAACCTATGGGGTCACAATAGTTATTACCTTGTGACTAGTCATGACCAGTAGATACTAGATAACCCTTATTATTTTTTTGTTCACTGGGTCAGAAGTCATGCATAATAACCTGATAACATGACGTAATTGGCTGCCGATAGGGGGCATACATGTTTTACAAACATACCTTGTTATATTATTAATTGTTGTTGTTATTTATTAATAATAACAACAATAATAATAATAATAGTTCCTATATACTTATACAGTATGCTTAATCTAGACTAAAATATCATTCATTATTCATATTTAACATTGCAGGCCTTAATCCTTAATTTAATGATTTATGATATTAAAATAACTTTTAATCTATTATCTAAATCTATATCATAGCTAAGGGCTTTGTGTGGTTGCATTTTCCTGTTTTGAATTTAGTACTGTTCATTCACAGAACGAAACCAGGAGGGTTTTGATTTTACAAATATAGCCAGCACGGACTCACTTTAAGCTAATGGCATAGTTAAGCTATTATCCTGCCAGTGCTTACATTGACTGGAAGGATTCTTAAGTGACAAGTCTTTTAGAAAATCAGGAATTGAACTTCAGTAATAACTGATTATTGTGCATAATTATTCATAATAAATATTTTGGTTTGTTTAAAAAAGGTTGCTGCAGTATGATAAAATTTCTGACAATCTACACCACATACAACAATTAAGATGCCATGTTAAGGTTTTATGTACTTTCCAGATGAGTTCCTGTAAGAGTGGAGGTGCAGATCATAACACAAATAATGCTGCAGTAGTGCATACAAACAAACACGGAGGTACACTTAGGCTTAGAAATGGTAAATAGATTTGATTCTTGTAATATTTGATCATGTTGTAATCATTGTATGATGTACATCATTTATCATGGTGTTAATTATCACAACCCACAACCATTACTTGTTTGATTCATTGGGATAAGACGCCACTATGGAATTTGTAAAGAGAAAGCATTTTCGATATAAACTGGAGGCTGGAGATGGAGCTGAAGGAAAAAAAATTTTTTTATTTCTTATTTATTTTTCCTACAAATGTCTTCTGTTTTCAGTTGCTTACTTCTTCTGATCACTTATTTATACTACTCTGTCTATTTCTGTTTCAGTCTAAAACTATCTTTATTCTAATCTATCTTTCTGCTATATCTGTATTTTCTAATCTTTTATTCTAATCTACTCTTTCTGCTATATCTGTATTTTCTATCATTTAATTTTATTCTAATCTATCTTTCTGCTATATCTATATTTTCTATCTTTTATTCTAATCTATCTTTCTGCTACATCTGTATTTTCTATCTTTTATTCTAAACCATCTTTCTGCTATATCTGTATTTTTTATCTTTAATTCTAATCTATCTTTCTGCTATATCTGTATTTTTTATCTTTAATTCTAATCTGTATTTCTGCCTTATCTATCTTTTTGCTACATTTGTATTTTCTATCATTTATTCTAATCTATCTTTCTGCTATATCTGTTTATTTCATGCCTTCCAGTGTTTTATTGTAATATATCAGATGATTATATTCTAATAAACCACTAGTTAAATTTATAAAATATAATTTTCACTGTAGCCGGACTATATCTGAATGCGGATGAAAAGAAAATCATAACTAAAGGGAATAACAGGCAAAAATAAATGCCGTCATACGTAAATTGTGATTCTTTAGGAAAAGAAAGTCGATGTCACCATACATCATGTTAAAAATGTAACAAAATTAGAGAAATTTAACAGAACTATATTTCAAAATTGATGATGTGACGTCATGATGTGATGACGTCACAAAGGAGAATGCGCGACGTTACGCGGCAAAATCAGTGAAAAATACTTAAAATCACTTAAAAAGCATGAAATAAAAAGAAAATTTATTTGTTTTACATATAAGATTGAAATATATTTCATTCGTGAACACCAGCTATTATATTTTCACTCGTGGCTACGCCACTCGTGAAAATATTGCATCTGGTGTTCACTCAGTGAAATTATATTTCAATCTTACATGCAAAACAAACAAATATCCTCTATATTTTCTTTATTTTATTCTAATCTACCTTTCTGCTTTATCTGTATTTTCTATCTTTTATTCTAATCTATCTTTCTGCTATATCTGTATTTTCTTTCTTTTATTCTAATCTATCTTTCTGCTATATCTGTATTTTTTTATTTTATTCTAATCTACTCTGTCTGCATTATCATTATTTTCTATCTTTTATTCTAATCTATCTTTCTGCTATATCTATATTTTCTATCTTTTATTCTAATCTATCTTTCTGCTATATCTATATTTTCTATCTTTTATTCTAATCTATCTTTCTGCTATATCTGTATTTTCTATCTTTTATTCTTATCTATCTTTCTGCTATATCTATATTTTCTATCTTTTATTCTAATCTATCTTTCTGCTTTATCTGTCTCTGTCTAACCAGGTCCTCTCACTTACACTTTTGGAAATACAAACCAATTCCGTTTACCCGGAAAGTATGCCGGTGTTCAATGTACGAGCATGGCCCTAGCAGCCATTATACATCAAAAGTCTTACCCTAACTTGACACCTGTTGGAATAAATGCTATTTTAGCCGAAGGAGACAAACTACACACTAGACTAAGGTATGCATTAACAACATACAAAAAATCGAATGAATATTATTTTATATACTCGCGCAGTGGTCAACAGTCGCGAGTTTGATACATTGATTTGATACTCAAACTAAAATTACTAACAAATCATTCTGATGTAATACAATTATATGTACTGTAGTGAGTAGAAGTAAAGTTTTTTTCTTTTTTTCTTCCTTTCTTCCTTTTTAGCTCACCTGAGCATATGCTCAGGGTGAGCTATTAGGATCACTCTTCGTCCGTCGTACGTTCACACTTTTAAAACGACATCTCCTCTGAAACCATAAGGCAGATCATAATGAAACTTTACAGGGATGTTCCTTGAGTGAAGCCTTAACAAAGTTGTTCAAAGAATTCCATTCCATGCAGAACTCTGGTTGCCATGGCAACCAAAAGAAAAAAACTTTAAATATCTTCTTCTAAAAAACCCAAAGAGCTAGAGCTTAGATATTTGGCATGAAACATCTTCTAGTGAGTGTCTACCAAGATTGTTCAAATAAAAGCCCTGGGGTCAAAATTGGCCCCGCCCCAGGGGGTCATTTATTTTCCCTATATGCATGTAGTAAAAACTCAAAAAATCTTCTTTTAAAGAACCCAAAGAGCTAGAGCTAAGATATTTAGCATAAAACATCTTCTAATGCGTGTCTACCAAGTTTGTTCAAATAAAAGTCCTGGGGTCAAAATTGGCCCCACCCCAGGGTATCATTGATTTTCCCTAATTATGCATATAGTAAAAACTTGAAAAATCTTCTTTTAAAGAACTGAAAGAGCTAGAGCTAAGATATTTAGCATGAAACATGTTCAAATGGATGTCTACCAAGTTTGTTCAAATAAAAGCCCTGGGGTCAAAATTGGCCCCACTCCGGGGTCATTGATTTTCCTTATATGTGTATAGCAAAACTTAAAAAATCTTCTTTGAAAAAAAAACAAACGGCCGGACGCTGGACAAAAAGCGATCACAAAAGCTCACCCTGTCACTTTGTGACAGGTGAGCTAAAAACCCTGGGGTCAAAATTGGACCCGCCCCGGGGGTTATTCATTTTCTTTATATGTGTATAACAAAAACTTAAAAAATCTTCTTTGAAAAAACTCAAATAGCTAGAGTTTAGATATTAAGCAGGAAGCATCTTCTAAGTGAGTGTCTACAAAGTTTGTTCAAATAAAAGCCCTGGGGTCAAAATTGGCCCCGCCCCAGGGGACATTGATTTTCCTTATATGTGTATAGCAAAAACTTAAAAATCTTCATTGAAAAAACCTGAATAGCTAGAGTTTAGATATTTAGCATGAAACATTTTCTAGTAAGTGTCTACAAAGATTGTTCAAATGAAAGTCCTTGTGTCAAAATTGGCCCTGCCCCAGGTGTGTCATTGTTTTTAACTATATGTGTAAAGAAAAAACTTGACCAGGTAGACCTTAGATGTTTAGCATGAAACATCTTCTAATGGGTGTCTACCAAGTTTGTTCAAATAAACGCCCTTGTGTTTAAACTGGCCCCACTCCGGGGGCCTATATACAGGTGAGCGACTTCAGGGCCATCATGGCCCTCTTGCTTTCTTTCTTTCTTTCTTTCTTCGGTTATATTTCTTCTGTGCAATATAGACGTTCATACTTGTGTTTATTAAAGTTGAGAATATGTGCTGTCCGGACCATTATAATCAAAGAATGATGCTTATTTATGACATTACATGTATATAAATGACCGCAAGAAATGAACGAATTCTTGATATTCTAAACAAAATTAGTAAAGAGGAAGTCGACATAACGTTATGTTTTATGTGTACATGCATGCATTAGAGGGACTTGGCTACAGATCTCTCAAATTATTCACGTGATTTTCATTGTAATTTACACAAATATTGTTGATTATCAACTACGTTACTTTCACGAAATTATTTATTAACATCAATTTTCTATGACTGTTATTTTCATGAACAATGTATTTCTATAATTGTTATTTTCATGAACAACGTATTTCTATGATTGTTATTTTCATGAACAACTAATTTCTATGATTGTTATTTTCATGAACAGCGTTTTTTTATAATTGTTATTTTCATGAACAACGTATTTCTATAATTGTTATTTTCATGAACAACATATTTCTATAATTGTTATTTTCATGAACAACGTATTTCTATAATGAGTGTTATTTTCACAAACCTAATTTATTCACAACGATTTTCTATTATTGTTATATTATTAACAACGATTTTATGTGAATGCTTAAGAGTATTTATAAATTAGGACTTTTTCTGGTTGTTATTTTCATGAAGATGATTTATAATTAACAACCATATTCAACCATAATTATAACTCAAGCATATATTGGTATTTATTTGTACTGTGATAATCATTTTGTAGAGATGACATTAGGATAAGTGAAAACCCGGACAGGAAAGTGGCGATCGATGAGTTTCCAAGTGAAAGTTACTTGCATGTTGGAAGTGTATTTGGAAGAGACACCTATGTCCGCTTGACACGCCAGTGCGAATATGTTTTCACCTCAATGATTGAAGGTTTCGATGGATTGCAAACCATAGAGGTAAGTACTTTATTTCCTTAAAAATATATAATTTACATTATAATATAAAGGTATTTTAGTTATTTTTGAGGAATCATTTTTTAATGATAATTTGGTAATATTAGGTACTTCATGTTTAAAATTCCATACGAGATTTTCACGAAAGTTACTAGTAAATAAAAAAATAATACATGTCGTTAAATTCTGAAGAATTCTGCATGAAATAGTAATTAAGTAAATTAATGTTGCATAACATGTATGATGTTAAGATTATCTGTAATGTCCTTTACAGGAATATGTCACCCATTGGTTCAGTAAAAGGAAAATGCGAAAGCTTGGATTTTTGCTGACCGTTGGTGTGTATTCCCATGGTATAATAATGAATGAAGATGGAAGTGTCAGTTTGTTTGACTCCCATGGGCAGCTGAAACACGAAAGAAAAGTATTCACGTCTTTGGCGGGAGCTGTGAATTTTCCTTCCGTCAAAGAGCTTGCTGATTTCTTGAGAAGTATGTATGGGGAGGGCAGAAGCGCTGCAATTGCTCTGGTCAGTGTGCGTTTCCCTGGATCATCTCGAGAAGGGTTTTGCAAGAAAGCCACTGATCATGAGCAGGCTGAATTTGGTTATCAACCATTCTGCATGAAAGTAACTGACACTTCTGCAAGCTTCATCCTGCCAGAAATCCAAATAGAAGGTGAAAACATCAATGAAAATGTGAAGAGCTTGGAGGAAGATGATGGCGTGTCAGCGTATGTAATGCTTCTAGGAGGTGGGACTTAGAGGTAAAGATTTATTCTTGTATATGTTTATAAACTCTGCATAGTTTTCAGCTAACATACTTTTGTTAACTTCCTTAGAATTTAGAAAAGAAATTATAAATGAGTATAGTTTTTGCTAGAATTTTTTTTATAAAATATTTATATAATTATTGATATATGCATGGGTACAATATTATTTACAAATTATAATTTTGATTTAACAGTGCAGGGCAGAGTGAGACGGAGATGGGAGGGCTAGCAAGTTCTGCCGGGTTGAATATATGGTATGTAAAATAAAAAGATGGTCCATCAAATATATATCATTTGGCTTTCAGTGTGAAATCTTCAAAATAAAATCATACAATCTATCTATACCAGACTCTTTGATACATTAGTCTATATTTAGATACCTAGTCTATATTTAGATACCTATATTAAGATACCTAGTCTATATTTAGATACTTTATACTCTTTTATTTGTGCTATTCTTAACCTGATTTGGGCAGCACACCACACTTATTGAAGCCACAGCTTCGAATGGCCAGGGAGATAAAGTGACTATTGTGGATTTAAATGACTGTTTGTCTTTAAAGTGCATTTTCAACATGAAATTTGTTTTTGTGACATGTAATATGATCATTGGCAAATTCGAAAACATGGTTAGAAATCACATGCTATTAATTATAGATGTCAAGGCCGCCATTGTTTGTAAACATTGCTTTTAAACAGCATGCTCGGACTGAAAACAAGTAATTTTACAGGGGGGTACAAACTTTCAGCAGTAGCAAAAAATCTACAAGGCCAAGCGCCTTTTGCTTTGTGATATTTTGCATGTATAGGGAGTTGCTAAAGCAGTGACAGAGTTTCTGCATGTAGCCCGTATATTTGCAGGTATTTTTTGGCGGAGGGACGAAATATGTTGTTTTGGGTCTCGGACCACTATAGATTTTTGGCTTTTATGGAATGAATTGGAATTTTTTTTTACTGCCTGACTGTTGCACATGGGATGATTTCATTACAGATTTGCAATGTTATGACATATATGTTCTTAACAAAATGTGTTTTCTTTTTCCAGGTTGTGTAGTTTGGGATCAGATTTGTCAGACATAATAAAATTTGCTTGTAGGACATTGACGGAAGAAACTTGAAATTAGTGTGGAGTGCTACCTTAAGGTAAAATGAAATTTTTTCAATGCTTGTTTTTTCTCATTAAACTTTGTGTAAATGCTCTATAATACACACTGACTACAATGGTGATGAAATTTTAAAATAATATTAAACACAGAGTCAGAAAATCTGCTTAAAAAGGGGAGGTAACTCAAATACCAGAAATTCTTTGTGAAATGTATTAAAGGTGCTGTGTCTGCTGTGTGCTTCAAGTGATATTATACCTATACTAATTCTAGGAGATACAGCTTTAGAAGAATGATAATTTTCACATATAGACCTATGAAGGTTAAATTAGATGATGTTTTCCTGCTTTTTATGACATTTTAATTAGGAAAAATGCTGATGCATTTAATGAATTTCAGCTGTATGTGTGAAATATGGCCATCTGAAGTGTTTCGAGTGATGCAAAATCATTGCATGGATGTAAATTTTTGCTGGAAATCATTTTTAGGGGCAAGTGGATATACAATCTAGGTTTTCTGGTTAGAGTGTGACTGATTTTAAAGCTGAGCGAGCAAGATCCAGTAGTCGGAAAATTTGGTTTTTGCACTGTCACTTGGTGAATTTTGATTCCCTAGGAGACCCACATTGTGATGTCTACAATGCTGTAAAGGCCCTGACAAAACAAAAGCTTTGTCTCTTTGATTTTGACTTTACACATAAACATATATGAACATTGCGCATGCCAAATTGATTTTCTACTGTGTAGGACTGAAAAAACATAGCATATATTAGTGTCTGGCAGGAACATATCTGATGTATTTTGTGCCCCATAGTGTCACATGAAGCCAGTTTATTCTTAAACTGTATGGCAATTTGTTGAATATTTCTTCCATATCATATGGCATAAGGATATATTTGTGCAAATTAGTTGTATAGATAGTATAGAACCCATTTTGTGTACACCTTACATTGGGAATTCTTTCTTTTTTCTACATGTACTAAAAACAGCGTGCCGAGGGCTGAAAATGGGGCAAACGGTATAGTTCATTAAAGGCAAATATAAAGAAAAGCAAACAATTCCTAGCTAAATTAAATCATTTTATTTATTGAAATATGCATAAATTGGCAGAAAAAGTCTGTATAAAGTTTAGCAATCAATGTTAAGGTGCTCCTTAAGGCAGCACACCACACTTATTGAAGCCACAGCTTCGAATGGCCAGGGAGGATTTCATGGATATAGTGACTATTGTGGATTTAAATGACTGGTTGTCTTTTAAGTGCAATTTCAGCATGAATTTTGTTTTTGTGACATGTAATATGATCATTGGCAAATTCGAAAACATGGTTAGAAATCACATGCTGTTAATTATAGATGTCAAGGCCGCTTTTATTTGTAAACATTGCTTTTAAACAGCATACTCGGACTGAAAACAAGTAATTTTACAGGGGGGTACAAACTTTCAGCAGTAGAAAAAAATCTACAAAGCCAAACACCTATTTCTTTGTGATATTTTGCATGTATAGGGAGTTGCTAAAGCAGTGACAGAGTTTCTGTAGCCCGTATATTTGCAGGTATTCTACTATTCTTGCCGGAGGGACAAAATATGTTGTTTTGGGTCTCGGACCACTATAGATTTTTGGCTTTGACGGAATGAATTGGAATTTTTTTAACTGCCTGACTGTTGCACATGGGATGATTTCATTACAGATTTGCAATGTTATGACATATATGTTCTTAACAAAATGTGTTTTCTTTTTCCAGGTTGTGTAGTTTGGGATCAGATTAATGTCAGACATATTGCTTGTAGGACATTGACGGAAGAAACTAAAAAATTTCAAGTGTGGAGTGCTACCATTTGAGTAAGAAAAATACAATGCTTTTTATTTTTGTTTCATTTTGCACAATAAATATGACTTTGGAACAAGAGGGCCATGATGGCCCTGAAGTCGCTCACCTGTATATAGGCCCCCGGAGCGGGGCCAGTTTAAACCCCAGGGCTTTTATTTGAACAAACTTGGTAGACACCCATTAGAAGATGTTTCATGCTAAATATTTAAGGTCTAGCTCGTTGGGTTTTTTAAAAGAAGATTTTTTAAGTTTTTTCTTTACACATATATATAAAAACAATTACACCCCTGGAGCAGGGCCAGTTTTGACCCCAGGGCTTTTATTTGTACAATCTTTGTAGACACTTACTAGAAGATGTTTCATGCTTAATTATCATCTACACTCTAGCTATTCGGGTTTTTTCGAAGAAGATTTTTAAGTTTTTGCATACACATAGGAAAATCAATGTCCCCCGGGGCGGGGCCAATTTTGACCCCAGGGCTCTTATTTGAACAAACTTGGTAGACATCCATTAGAACATGTTTCATGCTAAATATCTTAGCTCTAGCTCTTTGGGTTCTTTAAAAGAAGATTTTTAAGTTTTTACTATATACATATAGGGAAAATCAATGACCCCCTGGGGCGGGCCAATTTTGACCCCAGGGCTTTTATTTGAACAAACTTGGTAGACACTCACTAGAAGATGTTTCATGCCAAATATCTAAGCTCTAGCTCTTTGGGGTTTTTAGAAGAAGATATTTTAAGTTTTTTCTTTTGGTTGCCTGTGAAGTTTGGATGAAATTGGCTTAGTGGTTTATGAGGAGATGTCATTTAAAGTAAAAGTTTACGGACGCCGGACGGACGGACGCCGGACGAAAAGCGATCACAAAAGCTCACCCTGTCACAAAGTGACAGGTGAGCTAAAAAAGGTGTGAGGAAATGATCTGGGAATTTGCACACAAGTTACTGTGTATTTGTCTAATTATTATTAACATCAAATGGTACACACATATCGGAAAATATATTTCCAATCCTGTCCCGAAAGTAAAGTCCATTTCATCACGGATATTACGTAGAGTTAACTTTTCTCTTTTAGGGCTGCCGGGGTTCGTACTCACTTTGCCCAAAAAAGGCGTAAGGACTAATAAGGAACATGAACAACAATAAAATATGTCAATACTGCAATGTTTAGATGTTCTCGTTTCTCCTTAACCGAACAAATGTGAAGGTTTAACATTCAACAGACAAAATCACAATGACACTTTTTTTGTAGCAAAACAAATACTAAACTACTTTGAATGTGCAATTCCTCGTGCAAATGTTGTGTGTAAATTTCCTGTAAAGCTCATTGGTAGCCGGTTGTATATTAAACGGGGCCTCTGTTTATAGATGATAAAAATCTTATTTAGGTAAAGTAAGAACAAACGTAAATGATGTTTTAAATGAATACGGTACAAATATATGTCCGTTCAAACTTTGCAAAATTTAATTCACAAAAGTGACAAAAACTTTACTTTCAGATTTGTTAAAGGTCGCTACTTCAAATACTGGAGCAGCAGTGTTGGCCACATTCTTACACACGACTTTTACCACAAAACATGTGACTGGAAACCATGGGTGGAGAAGACATGTGGTCTATACCATGTGCCAATGGAACTATGCTGTGCACTAATGGACTGTGGCGCATCTAGAAGTTTGGACGCTTTAGGAGCGCCTCATGACATGATTGAACAGTGTAACATGACAGACGCTGTAACGGCATTTCAATCCATCAATAAGAGGGACAATCATATAGACACTGACCAGCCTTCAACAAGTCGGATGTGCAGAAAATATTTATTCAAAAGTTCAAACTTTACGAGACGATCTAACATTAATAGTCGCTCAGCAAAGCAAACACATTGATGAGATGATGTTAACTATGAAGTCTCTTCAAGATTGGCTGTCTTCTCTTGAACAATCAAGACCATCGGGGAGTTCTACAACAAACAACAACGCTTGGGACTCACAGAACGAAACTATGAATCTGAATAATGGAAGCTTATGATATCAACATTTAGTAGATCCAGTCAATCGGACGACTCGGATATCTCGATTACAGCGAGTGGTGTTTTATTCGAAGAAGGGGAGGACCTATTACAGAAATCACAGGACATTATTGATGCCTTAAGAAATAACGTCTCAGATAACGTCTCCATAACATGCGTGTGCCGACTTCCTTCTCGCTTCAGAAATAGGCCTCCACTTTTGAAAATAAGTTTTCGAAATCTTGAAGAAAAGGTTGTGGTACTAAGAAACAAAATATCACTTAAGAATACAACACACTTTAAAACTGTATATTTGAAAAGCTGTAAATCTCATGCTGAGCGACTTATAGAATTAAATACGTGCACCATTCTAAGACAACTTCCGGGAGGCAATAACTTCCGGGTTGATGCAAATGTACAAGACAGCAACAGAGAACAGATCTTAGGAAGCGTTCCGTCCCGATGGAAAAATTACGATCGCCCAAATTAATATGTGCGGATGGACTAATGAAAATAATAACTTGCGTTCAGCCATAACTTATGCTTTAAATTCAGACATAATATAAATTTGTGAAACACACTACGTGAAAATAACATTAGTCATTATTGAAGTGGAAGGTTATACATAGTATGGTTTTAATAGAACTGCAATACACAGAAATGCCCCAAAAGCTTCCGGTGGTGTTGGTATACTTGTGAAAAAAAGTTTGACTGAATACTTCTCAGTGGTCTGGAAGTAATCGGCAAATCTTCTGAAGGAATTTTAGCGTTGCGTTTTAAACACAAAGAGCCAGATTCAGATTTTATTGTTTTCTCGTGCTATCTACCACCGGAAAACTCATCTAGAGGCAGAGATGCTCAATCGTTTTTTCACTCACTTATTGACACAGATATACACATACAGGGAATGTGATAATATTTTGATCTGCGCTGACTTCAACGCCAGAATAGGTAGCTTATCTGATGTTATTTTTGACTGTGACACAATCCCACCGCGAGAAATATTAGACAAAACTATAAATCAACATTGTCACGATTTTATAGATTTCTTACATGATTCAAAATTTTGTGTATTGAACGGACGCTTTGACAATGATAACTATACATCTATATCGAGATGAGGTAAAGCGGTGGTGGATTTTATGTATGTACCACACTGAACATTCATGCAATGTCAAAATTTTCGCTTGTTAACAGTACAAGATATCGTAGATCACCACGGCTTGCATGGATTATAAGGGGAACGTGGCTTGCATGGATTATTAGGGGAACGTGCCCGCTTACCTGATCACAGTTTTTTAGTGATCAAATTCAAATGTGATCACTTGTATAACTGTCAGGATTTTAACACTGCAAAAACGTGCAATGACTTACGTTTTAAATTAAAACAAATTCCACCAGATTTTATGGACAGTGAACTTGCCAGGTCTGCCATAATGAATTTAATAAGAAATATTGAGTTAGCAAGAGAATCACAATCTGGAATCGACTCAGTATACCACGAATTTTGTGACAGCTTATATGATTAAATGTCACAAAGTATTCCAACAGTTAGTGTGTCCCATAAAACACATAAACGTCGGAAACAAAACAAGTCACATTGGAATGAATCCTTACAAGACATCTGGGATAATTTACGCCAGAAGGAGCGAGCATTTTTAAAGTGCGCTGGGCCTAACCAACAGGGAGCTAGACAAAGAAATGAATACATTGCCACTCGAAACGCTTTTGATAAATTATAACCGCAAACCAAACGCGCTTACAAATATACACAAGCAATTGACATAGAAAAGCTATCTACAAGAGACCAAAATGAATTCTGGAGGAAAATCAAAGAACTAGGTCCGAAACCTGATAAATCAATAACCGATTGAAATTATCGAGAAAGGTACGATAAATCGCGATGAAAGTGCAGTCTTCGAACGATGGAAACAAGAATTCGAAAATCTATACAATCATGATGATAATTGTGATTTTGACGACGGACATTATAATCGGGCCTTGATACACAAACATTTATTAGAAATGGATATCCAAGATCCATTATATACACCAAATGAACATATGAACTCAAATATTACTATTGATGAAATAACAAATATAATCATGCGTGCAAAATCTGGCTCAGCCCCTGGGCTTGACAAGATTCCTTACGATGTCCTTAAGTACCCAGCTGTCATAAAAATGCTCCAAAAACTGTTCCGGTTAATATTTGACATTAGTCTCATTCATTCACTATGGAGAAAGGGGATAATCTTCCCAATTTTAAAAGACTCTGCATCTGACAAGCGTGTCCCGTTAAATTATCGTGGTATCAGTCTATTATCGTGCACTAGTAAACTGTATAGCTCTCTAATCAACATAAGATTAACCAACTATCTCGAAAACAACGAATTACTTGCAGATGAACAAAACGGATTTAGGACAAAACAGTCTTGTGAAGATCACATTTTCGTGCTCAACAGCGTCATTAAGAATAATAGCGCGGTATACACCACATTCATAGACCTGAAAAAATGCTTCGACTTTATAGATAGAGACATGTTGTTATACAAACTTCTACTTAACAAGATGAATGAAAAGATATACAATTCAATCAAAAACATTTATACAAGCACTGTTTCATGTATTTGAATAAATAACGAATTGACAGAATGGTTCGATTGCTCAACAGGTGTGAAGCAGGGATGTAATCTTTCCCCATCCTTGTTCACTGTCTTTGCAAATGATTTAGTTCAAGACTATTGTTGTTTTCCTTCATTTACCAAACGTCTTATCTTGAATATACATGTATATACAATGAAACTACATTGTATATGGAAAAGGCTTATTGTATACCGCATAACATTTTTTCAGGAATGTCAGTAAGAAGTTTCATTTAAAGGAGTCCAGATTTGTCCGGCGGTCGGTATACTGGCTAGTTGACATATATAAAGTCAAAGTGGGGCATCACATGCAAAACTATTACACGCACGGACTTGTTAGATGTGGAATTGACTACGCAATGAGGGCATTCAATGTGGAAAGATGGCAAATTGAATTATACAAACTTGTTTTAAAATAAAGTTTTGTTACAAGCTATATTTCGATGTTAATAATAAAGACGAATTACATGAACATCTCTCTTTTGCGTGAGCAAGTTTCATCTTTTTTTTTTACCTGACCATTACCAATGCTAGTAGGTACGGCCATATGCGCCTTGTTTTAGCCAAGATTGGCACACACACACGCACGCACAATTTATGACCGTAAATGTCATTTTCAATCAGTTCTCCTTTGGTATCGTGCATGTGCATACTATCTAGATTAAGGCATGAAACATTTGAATATCTGAAAAACAGGGAAAATACAAATCCATGCCATGCGTCTCATGGCCTAAATCTTCTTATGCATTACTTATTAAACATTGTTTATGCAGGACGGTTTCTAAGTTCTTTATGAGTTATTATTCTCATGAACGGCTTTTAGGTCTTGTTGCTATATGGTAAAGGTGGTGCGCACTTGCAGGATATTGGATCCCGCAGCGTCTAATACACAAGATATTATTGGACGGTCACGTAGAACAAAACTGGAGCAGCAAATGATTATACAACCAAAATAAAAGCAAATCTGATCTAGCTGGGTCCCCTCTCATTCTAAGGAATGTAGACGGTGATGGTAAAGTCAACCCTTTGCACCGTGGTCAAATAGTAGCGCATTCAAATTAAATTTAGATAACACAATCAAATAAATATATGCACTATTCAAATAATTGCAGTACACCGATATACCAATGGTTTTTCAGTTTGCTTAATATGTGTTGGCATAGCAACACTAAGTAAGGTATGTTTTTTACCATTCCTTTTCCACTTTTCAAAAGACGTAACCTTTTCTGGTTATAACAGGTCAATTGTACCATAATGCCCCTCAATATCTATATGTTAATTTGTTGACCAAGCTACCACATTTATTGTTGTCATGGTAACAAATGAAATAATTTCTTTATGTATCAAGTGTTTTTGTACCAGTAATAACTGTAAGTTACACTTAGAATCTCTACAATGATCACTTTGAGACCGCCCCTTGTTATGCCATTCAAATTAATAATAAACTTATTATTTCTTTTGCTGAAATCTGTCTCTACGCATCTAAATGTGTTAAAATGTGAAGCAATAAAGTTTTATCAGAAATTAAGAAAAATATACTTTACCTTCTGAGCTAATCTAGCAGGTTTGAAGAGGGAAACATGGGGTTATACATAACAAATTCCCTCCATGTTCATAAAAAAAAACATATCAAGACATTTTTCACATATAACAATTATTTATTCTATTTATAAGAAAGTATATAGTAAACAAGAAAAAATCCAGAAACAAAAAAAAAATGTTTTGTATGTAGTGATACTTTAAATGATATTTTAAACAATAATAAAAAGTAGTGATATTTTAAACAATAATAAATGGTAGATCCCTTATGATACATGTACATGGAAGCTACTTCAAGCTTAACTGTCAGTTTAAAGATGTAAATTATTTTAAAATAATTGTGAACTTGAAACAAACTGACATGTCATGTGTGCAACCAACATCAAACATGTAAGACTATTTATGATCCCAAATGTCACTTTGTAAAGCTAAAATCATGGTTTTGCTACAAAGAAAATCTATTTATAGCATCTACAACCTTGACTTTATCTGAGTCATAGTCAATGTCACAAGTAAAGAGCCACAGTCCATGTCACCAGTATAGAGTCAGAATCCATGTCACCAGTATAGAACCTGAGGCTATGTACCAAGTATATAACAAGACGCCATGTTTGAAATACAGAACCAGGCCCCGTGTTCACTAACAAAAGATCAGGATCAGGATCAAGTGATCCTGATTTTATTTTCATTGTTTTATGTTACTAAAATTAATCGTGCTTTCCTAGAATTGAATGGTAGATATTCAAAATGTAAATAATTGCTGATTTGCAAAGAAACCAAACCTTTTTTGGGATAAAATCAACAAATAACAAATCAAATACAAAAATTTTCAGATCAAAATAAGGATAAATTTTAGGATCAGGATCAATATTTGGATCAACTGTAAAATGCCCGTATCTTGCAAAAATGACAATATATTTATTCTAAAATTTCATAAACTTGATATTGCTAGTCTAGTTTTATCAAATTAATATTAGATATTTAATCTTTGAGGATAAACAATGAAGAATATTAGAGTTTTTAAATTTGATCCTGATCTTGACCCTGATCCTTAAATCTTTGTGAACACGGGGCCAGAGTCCTTGTCACCAGTATCGAAGTGGAATCCAGTATCGAATTAGAGTCCATGTCACCAGTATAGAACCGGAGTCCAGTATAGAATGAGAGTCCATGTCACCAGTATAAAGCCAGAGTCCTGTATAGAACCTCAGTCCATGTTACCAGTATAGAACCAGAGTTCATGTCACTTGTAAAGAATCAGAGTCCAAGTCACCAGTTCAGAACCAGAGTCCATGTCACCAGTATGGAATAAGAATCCATGTCATCAGAATCTAGCCAAAGTCCATGTCACCAAAATAGAGAAAAGGTCCATTTGAACTATATTGACTAACTTTGATAAAAATAAACCATTATGTTACCTTTACAAATGTAAAATCAAAAAATAAAGAAAAGTGTGTTTTCTAGTGCCAGGTGTTACCTTTTAATGGACTTGTATTGTCAAAATTCATAATACATGTACTTAACTTTCAGCTGTGACAGGGCATTTTTACACTTTTTGTAACATACAGATCTATAAAATGTTCAGATCAATACATTTTCTTTGCAATAGATTTTTGAAAGTGTCATATTGTATATGAAGATCACGTTTTTGCATTTAAAACAGCTTGTTTTAAGTAAGAGAAATGTATGCCAACTGGATAACCTATTATAAAACTGAATATTTCAAAATACAGTCGAACCAGTGCTTAAGACCACCTCTGAATAAAGATAACCCTTCAAATAAAGGCCATTTTTTTAATAAATCTTTCTAAGATTCATTGATAACATGAAATTAAGTAACCTCCACATAAAAACCAACTGTCTATAACAAAAATATTTTGTCTCTTTCTTGGGTGGCCTATATTTGCTGGTTTGACTGTAACAGGCATAATTGAAATATGTAAAAGATCAACCTTCTACATTCATGACAACAGTTTTTCAAATCTCTGCATTATAAGATATTGGCAGCCAAAATATTATCAATTTAAAAGAGTAAATATGTTTATTTCAATATACACAATGAAAATAAAATTTCAATCCTCTATAAAATACCTTTTCCTCTTATCTAGTTTGATAAGCTGCCAAGAATTAAGATGAAAATGAGCCATAAAAAATGGGAAAAAATAAATAAAATGACACAATGAAATTTTAATACATATGTTACTGTACATCACAAAAAAACGAGCAGTTTCAGCCTTTGACTCAACATTTCGTGTATATGAAAGGAATTTGACAAATATTAAGAAAAGTATGTAATCATAAATTTATGACTTAGGCCTTACGTCTTCCCCTTCACCCTTCAGTCAGAAAAAGCAGGTCTTGGGTTCAAATAGCATGTATGGGATGATATTTGAAGGGGATGGGGCGATTAAAATGAAATTTGTAATTATACAATAATTTTATAAATATCAGATATCACGAGTCACATTTTATGTTACTAACATATCATAAGTTAAGTCACTATATACATATCACTTGTCACTCTACATGTATACATCACAAGTTACTCAATAATTTATAATAAGTTACTAATTTACTGTACAGTACAAATCACTGTATAAATTACAAAATACATTTATACATATATCATATTACATGTCATTGTATATGTCACATGTTACTTTTATTTTATACATATATCAAGTGTCACTGTATACATATCACATGTTACTTTATTTTATACATATATTACATGTCACTGTATAAATATCACAAATAATTGTATATCACAAGTTACTTTTTCTTCATATATCACAGCTCCTCTGTATAATAATTAAATAAAACAAACATATTTATCGTTGGATGTCCTAGATTTGACCCTTCCGTGGTCTGACACCATTTCAGTTTAAGTCCCAAAAGTTTTGTTAAATTCCAATAGGAAAGACAGCAAAATTTTGCCATTGAATCCATTTGAACAAGTACACTGTATAAAACTTTCATTGTATAATTTTTAGGGTGTTAAATCATGTTCACCCAAGGGTATATAAAGATTAAAGAATTATATAAAATCATCATTCTTGATTAAAAACATTTTTTAATATATTACAATCAAAATGCAGGTAAAAAAACTGAAAAAATACTTCCCTTTTTCTATTTTATGTCCTTAAAACATATTATCACAGTTACATCAACATTTTAAAAAAAACTAACTAAAAGAAATGAAAAATAAAATATATAAAAATAACAGAAACAGTTAAACCAAAAAAGCTCTTTCCACAGTGGCAAGGTTAAAGTTCTACATTTTTAAATGAACAATTATAAACATTTTCTTACTTTGGTATTACTTAATTACTGTGTTAATCCTCTTTTACTTGTTGCTAAAAGTCAACATTTTCACCTTTCAATTTACCAAAGTATCAACAAATTACCAGGAAATACTTATTCACATAGACAAGGGACGGTTGAATCTTTGGCACAAATTCATTTTGGCATTTTTACACTGTACATTTTTCACCACTATTCATCCTGTTTTCCAGCAGAATCCTCCTTACCAGTTCCATCTCCTGATTGTTTCTCTGTTTCTTTAGATTTATCAGAATCTGGTACTGGTGATTTATTCTCTCCTTCACTTGTAGCTTTATCTTGCTCTTTAGGTGGTAAGTCATCTGCCTTATCATCAGTCTTACTATCAGTGTTGTCCTCACCTTTGGCAACACCATCATCACCGTTGTTCTTCTCGTCATCCAAACTGTCCCTTTTCCTTCCATCATCTGGTTCATCATCATCATCAGCTTCTTTGTTTCTACTAGAAACTCTTGGACTTTCAGCTTCTATGTTGTCATTATCATTCTCTTCAGTTCTTGCTGTGATTTCAGCACTTTCTTCACCTTCTTTTTGCTGAGTTTCATCATTGTCTTTTGCACCACCTTCTTCCATTGGTTCAACATTACCACCTTGACCATCTGACTCCTTGTCTACATGATCAAGGGCTAATAACCTCTCTGTAAGACCATCATCTTTGTCGCTATGTAACCAACTGAAATTGACAATGTAGAAATTTGTATCATCTTCACATTTATTTCAAATTTATCACAATAATCAACAGCATCTGCCAGCATTATTTTCATTGTTTGACTTCAAGTTTTACTAGTATGGTCATGGCAGTATTCCAGCTAGCTTCACTGATGATGGAAGACTTTAGGTTTCTCACAAAGCCTAGTATCAGACACTTGACGGGATGCATTGATTTTCTAACGACTGCAAGCTATCTTTTTTCCAAAGATTTTTTAACAGTACATATTGATAATGTTTAAGTAGATCCTCACACCACTAAAATATTACAATTCCTAAACTAGAACTATCACTAAATGTGATTAATACCCCCACAAGACTGCTTCGGAAATGAGGATGTTACTAGTAACAGAACACCTTGTAAAAGAATTGAAATATAGAGTTATGGTTGTGGCAATTAAAGATAGTTGTGGTTCTTGTTTTCAATGTGGTTGGCCATTGATGAAGTTTTATTGAATTACGCTGTAATAAGTCCAAAAAGACAAGGAAAAGGCACAGAGGGCAATAACTCTATAAATACTGTAGATGGAGTTATAGTTCTTGTGCACTGCACTTCCTCTTATTGTGCTTGACCATTGTATGAAGTTGTTTTGAATTCCAACCAGTATGTTTTAAGTTATGCTCCGGACAAGGAAAAGTATCAAAGGGCAGTAACTCTGTATTTTGTCAAAATGGAGTTATGCCTCTTGTGCACTGCACTTCCTTTCAATGTCCTTGACAACTGTATGAAGTTGTATTGAATTCCAAACAGTAGTTTTTAAGTTATTCTCTGGAAAAGGAAAAGTAACAAAGGGCAATAACTCTGTAATTAGTCAAGATGGAGTTATGGTTCTTGAACAGTGCACTTCCTCTCAATAAGTTTGACCATTGTATGAAGTTATAATGAATTCCAACAATTAGTCTTCAAGTTATGGTCCGGACAAAAGAAAGCAATGGAAAAGTAACAAAGGGCAATAACTCTGTAATTACTTTAGATAGAGTTATGGTTCTTGTGCACTGCACTTCCCCTTAAAGTGTTTGATAATTGTATGAAGTTGTTTTTAATTCCACCCAGTAGTTTTCAAGTTATGCCCCGGACAAGGAAAAGTAACAAAGGGCAATAACTCTGAAATTAATCAAGATAGAATTATGGTTCTTGTGCACTGCACTTCCTCTCAATGTACTTGACCATTGTATGAAGTTATAATGAATTCCAACAATTCGTCTTCAAGTTATGGTCCAGACAAAAGAAAGCAATGGAAAAGTAACAAAGTGCGATAACTCTGTAATTACTTTAGATAGAGTTATGGTTCTTGTGCACTGCACTTCCCCTTATTGTGTTTGATAATTGTATGAAGTTGTTTTTAATTCCAACCAGTAGTTTTCAAGTTATGCCCCGGACAAGGAAAAGTTACAAAGGGCAATAACTCTGTAATTAATCAAGATAGAGTTATGGTTCTTGTGCACTGCACTTCCTCTCAATGTGCTTGACCATTGTATGAAGTTATAATGTATTCCAACAATTAGTCTTCAAGTTATGGTTCGGACAAAAGAAAGCAATGGAAAAGTAACAAAGGGCAATAACTCTGTAATTACATTAGATAGAGTTATGGTTCTTGTGCACTGCACTTCCCCTTATTGTGTTTGATAATTGTATGAAGTTGTTTTTAATTCCAACCAGTAGTTTTCAAGTTATGCCCCGGACAAGGAAAAGTAACAAAGGGCAATAACTCTGTAATTAGTCAAGATAGAGTTATGGTTCTTGTGCACTGCACTTCCTCTCAATGTGCTTGACCATTGTATGTAGTTATATTGAATTCCAACCATTAGTTTTCAAGTTATGCTCCGGACAAGGAAAATGCAACGGACGTCTGGACCGACCGACCGACCAACCAACCGACCACCGGGTGACTCCTATATACCTCCCCAAACTTCGTTTTTGGGGGTATAATTATAAATAGTTTTCAAAGTGAGACTTTAAACAAAGTTTCAGTGTATTCATATTTATTTATTTATCTTATTATTTAAGAAAAAGATATCAAATCTTCAACAGAGAATCTCTGTGGCTTTTGCAATGCCCTCCAAAATAAATAACTAACACATTCTGGATAAGTCTTCCATGTAAGTTTTAAAAGAAAACTACATATAAACATAATGACAAACACAACTATTATTTCCAAACCAAATCTTACTTTTCACAGGAGAAGACATATTTCTCATCTGCATCAAATGACTCCTTGACAGTAACAGTTTTCAGGTACCAGCCAGAGCCGGGTCCCTGCCCATCATGACCTATCTGCACTTGCATCAGACGTCCTAGATCTACAGCTTGCACTATAAATGTATCCGTCTGAAAAATAAAAGTTTGATAATTCAATATAATAAATAAATAAGATTTTTAATAATTTATCAATTTGTTGGAAGTTTTCAAAAAGTGTTCAAAATGTAGGTAGGTATGTCTAATGTTCTTTACCAGATTTAAGTAAATTAATGGCAGAAACAGTGGGTAGGTAGCTGTTAAATTTTTTTTTTTTACTTTAAACATTAACTTTGGTAAAAGTATTTCATATTTACAAGTGTTTTTTTTAATGAAGTCCTGATTATTTTCAAAATCAATTTATAAACACAGATAAATCTTCAGAAAGTTAAAAATCTTTCAAGTAAATTTTCAATGCAAGAAAATGGTGGCTCATTTTCAAGATAAGCTTCTATTTGTGCTTATTATCAAACTTTTAGGGATTTCAATAGTATCATCCTTGCTTTTTGACATATTTTTTTAAAAACAAGGCAATTTTAAAAAGGTGCCATATTTCTTATTTCTTTTTGTTTTGTTTAACATTTTGCTGAAGATTTTGAAAAAGGAATTTTTTTTTTTGATATGTTAAAGAGTCAGTCATGTGATGGCAAACAAAGCAATATAAATAGATGGCCCCACTATGTGCTGCTTTAATAATTTCAATGTAGGACTACTTGTGAGGCAACTTGAAAAGAAAACTTGGTTTAACTAAATATTTCATTACCTGTCCCGATTCAAATTTGTTCTGAGGAGTTTCGAGATTATGAACCAAAAACCTTTTCCCTGTGTCACCTAGAGTGCCTATAAGGTTGATATAAACTCTAGCATCTGTTCCAGAGCCGAACCCGTCACCGGTCAATGTCTGTACCATATAATCACGTACTGTAAACAATACATATCAACAACTGTTTATTATTCAGTCTTACTCTCTATATTGTTCAGTATTGGCTAGTGCCTTGTCCAATATAGTTTTGACAGCTATGTATTCTTCAAATATAATTCAGTATTGCACTCTTCTAATAGAATTCAGTATTGTACTTTTCTGGTAGAATTCAGTATGGTACTCTTCTAACAGATATCAGTATTGTACTAAACAATTTATCAAGATAGGGCTTCTGTGACTCTTCAGTAGCATGTTCACATAGAATTGTTTTGATATTCGTGTATTAAATGGACAGTTATTTTTCACAAACCAAGTAACAGAGACAGCATTCTGACATTTTAACAAAAGACAATATTCACATCTCTTGGTATCTCTTGATTCAAATCAGAGGCAAGAAAAATAAATGCTCTAGTTTTATTATATATAGCATAAACAGAAGAATTTGTCAAACTTATACCTGGCCAATCTTTTCCTTCTGTAGGAACTTCTACAGCTATGTCAAACCCAGGTTTCTCAAGTGTTAACCATTTGTTTATTGCAAATTCAATCTGCGTCTTGTCAACCATATTCATTAACACAACCTGTTGAACAAAAATAAACCACTTAAAGGCACATTATGCCTCAGAATCATTTGAATTTTCCCTTCTTAAGAAAGGGCAAGCATGACTTTTATAATATCTAAATAATGGTTTTTAGACATGTTAGATGCTTTTCACCTGAAGAAAATAACTCAATATCAATGAAATTTGTAATAAAAGTTGCAAAATGTAAACAAAATAATATTTTGACTTCCATACAAAATACTAAATCACTGTAACAGTACTAATAGGCAAATAAAGCAACAGAAAGCAAAACATGGATCAGGGAATTGGGCATTGAGTAACTTTTTGGAAATTTTAATATGGCACCATAACTAAAAAGGTTTTGAGAAATAAAAATAATAGCATATATGGGGTATAATTGGCATTTAAGATAAGTAAAATGTGAAACATTTGATCAAAAAGGGGGAGCACTATTCACAGAAGATACCAGGTAAAAAAAAATTAGTAACATTATGGAGAAAAGTAGAAAAATCTATTTTTAGCATAAAAAAGACTCTAACTCTGGCTACATCAACTTCAAACATGATTCAAATATAAAAGAGTCCATACAACTTGACTAAAATTTCTAAAATATTTGTCAATAAATGATAGCTCTATGAGAAATGGTAGGTAAAACTGACAAAACAAAGGCTGGAAGATATTATACGCCCCCCCCCCCCCCAAAATTATTTTTTGGAAAGCTAGAAAAATACACTTTGTAACTGACCTTGTCAACCTGCCATGGTTTACCAGAGTTGTCATGTTCAAGTCTTATCTTGCGTATTCTGCCAATCACTTCTGGGTCCAGGAATAACTGTTACGGAATTAAAATAATTAATATATAATTATAAATAACAAAATAATATGTAAAGAGTAAGATAAATACATAAGACGGTCTTTGTAGATATGTTATCCAGTTATGTAATTAAACATGTGACATCTGTTTGATCATTACTCAGCTGACTTGATTTAAATATCTTTACAATTTCTATAAATTAAATACACGAGAATAGAGATTTGTTTTTCGATTATTTGAAGCACTATCATTCCTTCTCAGACAGTAAAACTTGTAATTCAAATTCGTTTTCATCATTTTCTAATATGTTATATAACTTCGAACTGTGCTTTATCCAATGATTATTAATTAACAGTCTAATTTGTTTGATTTTTTGTCTATAAAATAAACTACAAAATGTATATTTTGATTTTTTTCTCTAATTCTAGCTTGTAACAATTGCCTTTTTCAATATCTGAACATTTGTGTCTGCTTCAAGAACTTAGATATAGATTGTAAGTGCATCATATCAAATTTCAAGAACTAAGCTATAGAATATATACTTGTGTCAATTTATAAAGGTCATTAATTTCAACTTATCAAGCACAACAAAACACAAACACTTTAACTTTGATTGAAGTATCCAGCCCTTCAAATGTACTTGTTTAAGATTAACCTTTTCCCTGATACAGCCCCCTTAATTTACTGCTTTACACCCCATAATACAGTAGCCAGATAGATAATCAATAATCAATATCCTACTGATAAGGAGTCACACACTATCTCCATAAAGGGTATGATAAATTATAGGTAAAATTGGTCAAATTAGATACCTATATACTTTAACTGGAAAATAAAGTATTAAGTTGTGTTTTGACAATTTTTGTATCAATAAAAAGTTTGTAGAGAATTGAAATACCTTTCCAATGGTATAAATATCATATTTGTTGGGTTTATACAAATATGTCTACATGAGTTATAAAGTAATAAACTATATACTTGATGGTGTTTTTTTCTCCATTGTTTCAGATAAATTAGGCTACTTATGTGTTTTAACTAATGTGAAATGGTTTAATTACAAGTTTGACAATATATATGTCAATGTAAGATTTGTAGAGATTTGAATTATCTTTCCAGTGGTATAAATTTTATATTGTTAGGCTTTATAACAGTATAATTACAGTAGTTATAAACAATAAAATGATGTATAATTTTTCTCTCTCTTTTACAGGGATTAGGGAAATATGGCTAATTTATTATTAATTTTTTTGGTTTATGCAGCATTCATTTTTAGTGAAATAAATAACAGTCAAGTTCTTTTTTTTACCTTTTTTTATACCAGTAAAAAGAAATCTCACTTTGTTTTTTTTTATTTATTTTATAAGTTTTTTTTATAATTTATTTCATAATAGTAACTGTCATTTCTGTAATACATGTATATAACTGTTGAATGAAATATTTCAGAATTTCTGCTGTCATGGTCATATATTTTCTTCATGAATTATGAATTTAATTAAATTTTATCATTTATAGATCTAATTTGATCAAATGATGATAAAGGAAAGACATCCTCGAGTTCCACGGCCTTTTCGGCATTTTCATGTTGCCGACATCAAAGATGATATATGGGATATGATTTTATCATGTCGTATAATACACGGCCCCATGCTGTGTCTGTTATGAAAACAATAGCGCACATGAAAGAATTTAAACTATTAAACATTTCTTTGTCGGTCATTTTCTTAAAAAAATCGCCGCTGCTACCGGAAATATTTTATTGCTGGGGCCAGAGAGATACCCCTAGTCAGGACGTTAATTAATCCGTGTATATACACATGTCAGCTATCATAAACCAAAACAAACATCAAATCCATTATACCATGCCTGGCACGTGAACGACCCGTGATCATATAAATACTATTTATTCATTAGTTGCTATTTTTAGACACTTTTGTTCCTGTCTTACGATACGTTCTATATTTATTTCATTGACTCGCGCACTCATTAACTGCGTGACGTAAGGAAAACCCCTCACCTGGTTGGTCGCTAATTATACAAAAACTTTAAATAGTAACACCATAATTTTATGCACGGAATCCCCTCATAAAATGTTGATCTTTACGATAACACAATTTACAGGTCTATTTTCCGGGAAAATTGTTGATTTTTGGACAGGTAAATATTGAAGTCGGCGAAAGTCGCTTCCATTGAGATCATGCATGTCGGCGATTCTCGCTTACATGCGGTAATCGATAAAGCCGTCGATTCTCGCTTCTATCAGGGAATGGTAAAAGACGGCGATTCTCGCTTCTATAAGGGAAAAGGTTAAACATCCATCAATATCTTACATCAAATTCGTCTGTTTTTCCAGAATAGAAGTACCCAACACTTGAGGAACCAAGAGTTATGGGTCCTGAGTTATCAGCATCTCCGTATACAGTGAGAGTCACATTAGAGTCTGTACCACTATCTGCCTCCTCACTGGTCGTCACATACGCTTTCCAGTCACCATCTTCAAATATAACATAAATTATCAACTTTCCTCAATGCAAACATATTAATTCAGCTCTTTATTAAAGTGACACTTTTTTTTGTTCAGTAATTAGACTAATTACTGAACAAAAGAAATTAAGTACGGTAGATTATTTTTTATTTTTATTTTCCGGGACAGATACATTACTTCCGGGACAATCTCGGACGTCTGGGATGTTATGGCATGTATGAATTAGTCATAGCAATTTTCTTTACAATCATTCTGAAGCTTATGGCTTTTACTGGTGGAGACAGAGCAGAGATGCCTCTTCTGTAAATTTTTCAATGTTGTTTACTACAGCTGCAACATAGCAAGAACACTTTTAAAAGATCATTGGTTCTAAATTTGAGCTTTAAATCACTTTTTCAGTACAACATATAAATTATGACTTGTTTGTTTGAGCGGGAAATTATCTCTTATCTAGGAAGGATTGAATTTTCAACAAATGCAACAGACTTACTTTTGTATTCTTTATCATCAACTTCTTGTTGTTGTGGGGCAGTTTCAATAACATCTGTCAATGGCAGCGTGACCTCTACATCATTCTCCCCACTACCCTCATCTAACCAACGGCCACATTCAAACACATACTGTGAGCTAGAGTCCTCTTTCTCCTTAACAACAATCTTATCTAGCAACCAGCCTGACCCTGAACCTGATCCATCATGAGTGACCTTCACCTTGGTCAGTTGTCCAAGGTCAACAGCAGGAATATCAAATACATCTTTCTGTAACCATAGGAACAATTTGGTTGTAAGTTTCATACTTTATGCAAGACTTGTATAACTGTTAATAATACATCAATAAGATGGACTTTTTATTGAACAGGTCTTTACTTATTGCGAGAAAAAAATAATCTTGTTAATAATCAAAACAAAAGTATTTTTGCTGCTGTAAGTTACTAGATGCCCCACTTGCACAAATTAGTTTAAAAAATATATACTGTCAAACAAAATTACAAAATTGAATTTTAAAATCTTGGCTAATTAAAACTCCACTTGGCTTATTCCACCCCCCCCCCAAATCCTTTCTTAATCTTTACTCTGCGGTACCCAAAAAATGATAATGACTTATATTAAAATTTTATCTTGGTATTGCCAGTTAAAAAGATGGAAGCCGAAAATTCTTTTTAAGAGATTAAGCAGGTTAAAATCAAATCTTAAAATTTAACACTTTGATTATTATCTCCCCTCTTATGAGAATTCAATCAATGTTAGTTACCTCCCCTCCTTCAAATTTATCCGAGTTAGTGCGAGAGTGCATTAATCTCCTTAGACCAGTATCACCCCGCTCTCCATATATCTGGACACTGACATTAGCATCTGTACCAGCCTTAAACTTGTCTCCTGTATAAATCTCCATCTGGTACATGTTCACTGAAACATGAATATACATATGAGCAGCGTCACGACAAAACTAACATAATGGGTTTGCGACCAAGCGTGGATCCAGACCATCCTGCGCATCCACGCAATCTGATCAGGATCCATGCTGTTCGCTATCATTATCTCTACTTGTAATAGGGTTGGTTAGTGAACAGCATGGATCCTGATCAGACTGCGCAGGCTGGTCTGGATCCATGCTGGTCGCAAACCCATTATGTTGGTTTTGTCGTGATGCGGCTCATATGGTGACGATACAACTGATGTAAACATAGTTCATGTTACTTGAAATTTAGATATTGAAATAGCTTTTAATACTAAGGATTTTTTACAAGACAGGATTGAAAAAAAAAATCTCATATTTCTGTACCACTTGATGTAGGTCTTGATAAATAACTTGTGGGCAAATTTTCAGATCATACCCATACCCTATTTTTCCATTTTTTTTCTTCAGAATTTATTGTACAAAATGATCCAAAAATGAAGTGTTTCAATGCCTTTCACTTAAATCAGGTTTAGAATCACACAAAAATCTGATTTTCAATATTTAACTGCAAGCATATTTCTTTAGTATCTTTTGCAGATTTTTTCCACTTTAAGTGCTTCATTTCATCTATGTAAGAATTTCAAATTTTATGTTTTTAGGCTTTTTGACCTCAAGTGCTTTAAGCAGCACAAGATCAGATCAGCAGTTAAAGAAATGATATCATAAAAAGCAGTGATATAACCTAACAACTACAAGTATCTGTTTTGACATAAAAGGGAGAAATGGAAATGGAGGAAACTTAAATAACTGCATATAGTGACTTACCACTCAGTTTATTTTCAGTTTTTGCCACAGGAATTTCTCTCCAGAAGTCCATATATTTCTCGACTTGTACCGAGACACCGGCTTCCATTTCATATTCCATGCCTACAGTGTCATCTTTCAGCTTCATCTGATAATGTTATAAAGATTCTTAACAGGTTATATGGCCAGATATATACAGTTATTTGCAATATAACCACAGCTATTTGCAATACAACCAAATTCATTTGCAATACAACCAAATTTATTTGCAATATAACCCTCATCTAATGACTTGGTTTATATATTCAAACAACAACTTATATAGGACCAAGTATCAAATCTTTACAACTTATAATATACCTATACATTTTTTATAATTTCAATTTAAGAAATACATAATTCCAGATTAATTTTCTACACTCCACAACTTGTATTGATCAAGTCATGATGTTACCTACTTGTATTGACATTCATATGCCTGTTAGAATGGAATAATCATTCATCTGTTAAGATTTTCAGAAGGAATATAATTAAAGGAAAATTCCATATATAAAAGTTTAATGAAGATCTGATATATAAATGAAACTGAAAGAGTTTCAGGCTGTCAACCAAGTCTTATCCAAAATAAAGGAGGAATATAGGAATATTTTAGTAGGAAATATAGGAGTTTTTGGACCATTTTGAGGCAAAAAATAGGAGTTTTCAACTTAAATTATTTAACTTACCAATGCTTATATAAATGTAAATTATTCTTACTTTTACACATGTAAATTATTCTTACTTTTACACATGCTGTTTCTACAATAAAATGTCTACTGTATAAGTGAAGGACACCATTAGCAGGCTGTCCAGCACCTTCCGACATAAAATTAGGGCGAATTTTAGGGTAATATTTCAGAAATTTTAGGGCTAAAATTAGGAATGTTAGGGTACATAATAGAAACTTTAGGTCTAAAATTTGCAATTTTATAACTAAATAAACTAAGGCCCCAAAGGACCATGATGAGGGCTAATCTTTGCATATTTGACACAAAAGTAACTCACAAATAATGCTCTAGTTTAGTTAGAGCAAAATTGCTATCAATGTGGACTCACTGGTCAACTGCCTCACCTGCGGAAATGGTCATAGTCAAATCATGTTCAAACCATATTTTTTAAACTGGCTGAACATGTCAAAAAGAACATGTTCTACCTATGTTTTGGGAATGTTATAACCACAAGTGTCTAAAAGGAATTCTTATACAGTGAAATTCTTGCACAATGCAGCTTTTGAATATGGACAAATGAAATTTTTTGTACAAGTAGGAAGTAAAAAGGCATTTGCCTTAGTACAGTCATTTGAATAAATGGGAAGCATCTATAATCAACACAAAGAATTGCACATCAAAAAAGTTCATCACACAGACCATTCAATTGCAGTTTATCTAGATCATATAATTGCAAAATGTGTGTACATTGTAATTGGAAATGAGCTTTATATTAGTGAACTTCAAAATTATTTTTGAGTGTGATTAATTACATGAGTCTGCCTTTTCCTAAATTGTACCAGATGAATGAAAGAACAAGAATTGAATGAAATTGATAACTTTGTGGCAAAATAAGCAAACTCTCCTACAAAGACATCGAAAAGGATAAATAAGTATGAGGGAAAGAATAATTTAATCAAAGTCTATGTTAACCCATTTAGTACTTTACAATGTTGTTTTGATATTATGCAGATTTAAATAAAAGAGTTGTTTACTTTGTGAGTAAACAAATTGTACATTAATTTTTAACAACTATTTATACATGTTTTTAATTAAGATTGTGTAACAACAGCTTCATAATGATCATTTTTAAATATGATATGATATAAATGGACCACTTCAGAAATTTGGATAAAATGAACAAACATAAAATTCAAGATATCTGGAGTTGGCAAAACAGTGTCAAAATATTCCAGAATAAGTGGACTCTTATGGTTATGATTTGAGTTTTAGGACCATGATATGGTAGTATTTTTGCTGTCAATATGATTATCAACAAATGCTTTGATTATGAAATAGCAATGTTACTAAGACATAGTCAAAGTAACTTTCAGTTAAAACGAAACCATTTCAATGTCATCAATTTTGAGTTGGTATATCATGGCCGAATCATTTTTGACCATGTTCAAAACATGGTTGACTTAGTTATGTCCGTGATTATTTTGACAGGGTTACAAGTTATAAGTATGTTTATAACAAAAGATAAAAAAATTAGGAATATCAGTGAAAAAATAGGACATCTTTAGGAATTCCCTTTGAATTTTTCACTTTTTTTAGGAATTTTAGCCAAACTGAAAAAAAAAAAGGATTTTTTTAGGAATTTTAGGGACGCAGCGGACAGCCTGCAGTAGTTAACCACAGCATCAGCATCCCGGCAGAAAGTTACAGCAATGCATGACCATCATCTGAATGGTCACCTGAAATAAAGATGACATACTGATGCACTGCTTTTCATGGTGACCATGCAGATTGCTATGTGGAGCACAGCAGCCTTGAGCATAGTAATGTGATGCTGATGCAGGCATACACATTCTCTTACCTGTAAAATACAAAATGCCAAAAGCAGTACCAAAATTTAAATCTCTTTGAATTCCTCGGCAATATATTAAAAAAAAAATATAGGAAAAAATAATCAAAATATAGGAGAATATAGGAAAAATAGGAGATTTTTTAAAATATAGGATTCCAACCCAAATTATAGGAGTTTTATAGGAATATAGGAATTGGTTGACAGCCTGGAGTTTAGATTAATATTAATAAATTTATTCACCCTGTTGAATAAAATGGTTTTTTGCAAGCCTCTTGCGAGCCTAATATTGATTTACTAAAAAATTCAATTTTAGCATTGAATCTACACAATTATAATATTCTATTTATCAAATTCCAAAATGAGAAAAGTAAAAAAAAAACAGTAATTTTTCATTGATGCATCTATACGTGTAATGCTTATATTAGTGCAGTTTAATGCCATATATAATGCAAATAATATCAGTCATATTATAATTATTATTATATGGTAAAATAATAATTTAGTGATAAAGCTTTCTTACACTTTCCAGGAACCAGCTTGGAGCCATATTGTAATTGCTATACCAGGGAACATCATACTTGTTGCCATGGAAACCAACCCTTACTTTATACAACTGTCCAATTTCACCCACCACTTGAACCTGAAACACATTATTTTTAGCAAGTGAATATTATTTTAATTGTTTGTTAAAAAAAATGATATAACCAGACAATAAGAATGTAACAAAATTGTTAATAACTGTCCATGGACAGCAGTCTTCGTTACTTTAAGTCCTTGATACCAAAACAAGAGCTGTCCTTTAAAATATAAGCAAGCCAGAAAATGATAAAACCATTCAAAACATTAACAGGGAGTATTGCCCTCCTTATTTTCAGAATAGTCAAACAAATAAAGAATGAAACAAACTTATCATACTTCCTTTAAAGCCATTACCTCAAAGCATGATAACGTTGTTTTTTTTATCTCAAACTCATTTACCATAAAGTTGTAGGATACTGATTTTAACAGTAGTTAACTTCAATACAACTTAGCACCATAAATTGAGTTATAAATTATGTTAAAGCCATCTATAAGTAGCTATCATACTTTAGATCAATGGTTCTATATTTATCGAGATAGTTTTTACAACAGAAAAAAACCCATAACAAAACAAGCCAGGACTAGAAATTGTGATTTATTTAAATTTATTTTTCTTTTACACATAATTGTGTTTCAAGTCTGATTAACAGTTTTAAGATCATAATTCTTTTACAGATTGAGTTTTTATTTACACTGGAACATTGAAGCCTATTTGACAGACATAATGGTTTCATTTTGGAAAAATTACAGACAATGTATAACTTAAGATGGCACCTATGAGCATCCGAGTAGAAAAATTACCTTCCCACTAGCTTGCAGGACATAAACAAGCAATTATCATAGTATTGCAAGCAATCCATAAGTCCCCTACCGGATAGAACCCCATCAGCATTCTGAAGGGCCATTGGCCATTCACTAATGTGTAAATTTTTCTCTATTTTAAGTAAATTTGTTGGAAATGTTCTTTAAAAGTGATTACAGGAAAAAGTTTTTATGAACAGACAGACAGACGGACTGAAGGACATCTAAAGTTAATATTTGAAACATCCCTGTTACCAAAATGTTACATTTTAAAAAGCAACATTCTTAAAGAGGAGATAACTCTGGAATTAAAGATGCAAATTCATAAAAAGTTTCAGCTCATATAACATTTTAAAAAGCAAAATTCTTAAAGAGGAGATAACTCTGGAATTAAAGATGCAATTTCATATAAAGTTTCAGCTCTTTTTGACTAATCACAAATATTGTTATATTTGCCATGTTTTAAGCTTATTTGTTGCCAAGGCAACCAATATTTTTTCAAAATAGGAAGAACAGATAAGACATGCATAATCTCAAGACTGCCATCTACCCACATGTCAAGTTTCATAAAAATATTTCCAGTACTTTTTGAGTTATCACTGGATTCACTTTATGTGTAAAATTTGCCATATTTTCAGTCTATGTGTTGCCATAGCAACCAGAATTTTCAACATAGGAAGAAAAGAAAAAGACATGTATAATCTCCATACTGCCATCTACACATATTACAAGTTTCATAAAAATATTTCAATCACTTTTTGCGTTAACACTGGATCCAGTTTATGTGTAAAAATTGCCATATTTTCAGTCTATTTGTTGCCATAGCAACCAGAATTTTCAACATAGGAAGAAAAGAAAAAGACGTGCATAATCTCCATACTGCAATCTATCCATATATCAAGTTTCATAAAAATATTTCCAGTACTTTTTGCGTTATCGGTGGATCCAGTTTATGTGTAAAATTTGCCATATTTTCAGCCTATTTGTTGCCATAGCAACCAGAATTTTCAACATAGGAAGAAAAGAAAAAGACGTTCATAATCTCCATTCTGCCATCTATCCATATATCATGTTTCATAAAAATATTTTCAGTACTTTTCAAGTTATCGAGGGATCCAGTTTTGTGGACGGACGGACTGACGGACGTTCTCACAGGACAGTAATTATGTGGCTACTCTATTGTTCTCTCTATTGTTCTTTTTAGCCACGCAAAAGAAAATAGCCACATAAAAGCATTACGGAATGAATGACATCAAAGAGAACCTATTGTCCCTCTAGCCACATAATTACTCTCCTGTGAGTGCGGACTGACAGACGGACGGACGGACAGACGGACGGAGGGTAAACCTAAAGTCCCCTCCAGTAAACCGGTAGGGGACTAAAAACAACAAAATCTTATGTTTGAAACAAAACCATTTTAGTGAGGTAAAAGTCATTAGAATTTGACTTTTCAGCTACCATTGTGGATTAACATAATCTATCATAAAGATAGTCCTACCTTAAACATATCTGATTGACCCTTGTTAAATCTGAATTCTTCTTCTCCCCCTATAACCACTGGCTCACTGTGACCTTTGTCCCCGTAAAGGATTAGCTCTATGGGGTTACCAGTTCCCTCGCCAACATCAGCACCAGTTTCTGTCCATATTGTCCACGGACTCCCTTTAAAAACATTCCAAATACATTATTACAAAATATCTAACACCAGACAACATAAAAAGCATTACTAAATCTCTAGATTATGTTACCAAGATAACAATAAAAACAATACAATTTACTAGCAAGATTTTGTGTTTTTTATCTGGGATCTTTTTATATACAAAATAATAAGGTTGGTCTTATCACAACTTACATGCATTTATTGCAAGGGAAAGATCACTCCATATTATGTAGACATTGATACAAGAGTAAATATATCAAATTAAACATTTAATTTACATAAAATCAACTGCTGATAAAAATCACACTGACACATTATAGGTCATATGGTGACATTCCAGCTTTACTGGTGGAGAAAGATCTCAGGTGCCCTTCCATGCATTATTTCAGGCACAAACGGATAACTGAGTAGAACCACAGAGGTTATGTAAGCTGGCTGGATAGTTTCCTCACATGAAAGAATCCAAAGTCCCTGTCCTGATTTGAACCCACAGCGGTGAGGGGCAAGTGGTTTGAAGTCAACGACCTTAACAACTCGGCTACGGACGCCTCTAGAAAATGTCTTTTAAGTTTAGAAAAGAGATAAAATATGATAATATCTACCTGATATAGTTTCATCTGTTTGATCATCACCCTCTAGTACCTCAGTTAGAGGAAATTCCTGCGATACATGCGTCTCCCCTTCTGCTACATCCAACCAACTGTAAAACAACAAAACACATTTAACACGAATAATACTTTTTATCACATACCCTTCCACTTTTATGACTCCGTAAAAAAGGTACTGCACTGACGTGCATATTTTTTGATGTGACATCATTTTTGTTATATAAACATAGTGCCAAGATGCGCTAAATGTTAGCGTTATATTATAGGCGTTTTTTTTTTTTTACTTCAAATGGTCCTTATTTATGGTATGTGATAATTAGAATATTAACTTCATTTCAGTTTTATACTATATACTACTCTAGTTATTACATAGAAAATTTCAGTATCACACAATTTATCTTTATTAAGTTTGAAAAATTCATGTAATCATTCAACATTTAAAAATTTGAGAAGGCTAAATGAAGTCCATAAAGAATTCAGAAAAAAAAGACAATCAATATGTATAAAGCTAATTCAATTAAGATTTAAAACGGCCTTCAGCTTTTATTTTTTGTTGGAAAAATAAGTCTGTGTTGTTTCAAACTAAGTATTTCAGTAATTATTTTATCTTGGAAAAGTGCATCATATCAACATTATAAGCCTTCTTCAAAACTGCAGCAAGACAGCGTATCAATGACCATGTTTCTAAAAATAGAAGATCTGGAAATGAATAGTTCGTTTTACTTATTTACACAAAGATTAGAGGTATAAATGGGTTTCCTTATTGCTAACCATATGTATTTCCTGCAGAAAATATCAATTTTTACTTAAATACTTTTGATTTGACAATTAAATGAAACAATTTTTCTAAAAATAACATATTTAAACATTAGAAAAGCTGAAGGCTGCTTTCATATATCTTCACACTGTCAGGGGCGTACCTCTGCTTATTATGAGTGTACGCCGAGTGCCGGTTTTTGGCCAAAGGATCGCCAGAGACTTATATATCATATATAGCTATGTGCTATAAATAAAGGATTTAGGGGATATTTTAGCTAATTGTACTACTATTGTCTTTATCTATAGTTATGAAAATAGTACATAAATTGAATGTAATAGAAATAACATGTAGTCTAACGTGGACACTGTTTTAAATAGTTCAAAAATATTTGCTTTTAGAAAAACAAAACATAGCCACGTGTCTCCCTTGTAAAAAAGATGGGTTTTATTTCCTTTTATAACAAGTTTAGTTTTTTCTTTGTTATTTTCTTTTGTTTCACTATAACTTAACGTGAGATATAATCAAGGAAAATATGCTTTACTGGGGCGTACCTTGGCTTATTTTGAGTAAACGCAGAGTTCAGGTCTTTGGTCGAGACTTATTTCAAAGATAACTCTTTTCTATTACCAGGGATTATACTTCTTAAAAATTGTCTTTATCTATAGTTATGAAAGTTACATCAAGTACATGTATTGAACGTAAGAGAAATTGCACAGTCTAGATTTTACACTGGCTTAATAAAATTAATTCATAAAAAAGTTATTTACTACCGTGTATCAGAAAAAAACTAAACATAGCCAGGCGTCTCTATTGTTATGAAGATGGGTCTAAGAAGTCTTTTTCCTTGTTATTTTTCTTTAGTTTCAACATACCGTAACATGAGATATAATCAAGGAAAATATTATTTAAAATGATCTGTAAAACGATAATACAAACACAATAGCTTAAATGTTTTTGTGTAACAATAGGTTATTGTATTAACATCTAAATTGTAGTATCGCGTGATCATTTAAGTCCTTTAAAAGTATTTCCAAATGCGCATTATGTCAATGTGAAAGAAAATAATTTTTATCTATAACAATGTTTTTCTCAACTATTGTGTTTCAATTTTCTTCCGAAATATTTAAATTAGTTCAGTACATTGTTACATGACTAACGCACATAAAAGCATGTTGGTATATAATCAGAAGCCAGTGAAAATAAAAGAATCTGGACTTGACGTGTCTTATTATCTCTTATATAGGTATACATTGTTCTCATTGTATATTTATCTATGTTTCATATGTATAGATGAGACTATGTACGGGGGGTTATCCAAAAATTTCATGGACTTTCATTGTTGCGTAAAATACATTTGAGATTCTTACATTGCTTAGAAGAATAAATAACAAATAAACACAGAAAAACTCATGTAAGTAGCTTCTTATATGACACAATATTTAATTCTACATAAACAGCGGCACACTCCAAATGTTATTGACGTAAACGTCATAATAACGTACTGTACAACTTGTGCTTCAATATGTATAGATGAGACTATATATATCATTGTTTACAGTAGGTTGCAATTTATTTCTATAGTCAATAAAATAAGGCGGTAGAAATAACTTTATATATTGATATTTTTTTAGGTCAAATAAATATAAGTTGACTATGGTTTGGGATGATAGATGTGGGCAATGGTTTTGAATAAAATTGATATAAGATGAAAGAATGTTACTAACTTAGAAATGATATAATAACTTGTAACTATAAGGTTAAATATAAAAAAAAGAATTACATATGGTCAACTCCCTTCCATTGTGCTACAGATGTCAAGTTGCAGACAAGGCTTAATTTTGCATATAAATGTTAAATAATGAAATAAATGTTCAGTTTTCATTGATTTTGATTCTGCGGGAAAGATGATTGTAAATGAATTTGACTTTTTATTATCATTATTTGGGTTAATCTGCATTATAACATTGATTATTTTGATAACTCAATCTGCAGAAAGAGAAATTTCCAAAGAAATTATTCATATCATATTTTTTTTACATTCCGTGGCTCTGTAGAAAGGCCAAACATTTTTGTTTTCGGAGTCCTTTATAGAATCCGCATACAGTAGGATGTTATAAATCAAAATCTTAAGACATTTCAACGATACCTCCATAAAAACTTTTATTACACGGATTCAAGACTGAAACAACGATAGATCAATTCTCACTAAAATTGTGTATACACATTATCAAAATAGGTAACACATATTCGAATTAGGAAACATCCTTAGCATACCTAAAGAATTAATTAGGAGCTACAAATATGTTGATCAATCTATGTCCGATTTGAAATTTTCTTCTTTTTTTTCTTTTCATACGATCATGCGTATTTGGCGTATCGGTAGGTACACCACTGAATGTATACATTGAAAATAAAATAGATAATCTTACTCATCACATTTGAACACATATCTGGTCTGACTATCTTCTGCTGTCTTGACAACAACCTTCTCCAAGAACCAACCTGACCCCATTCCTGAGCCATCGTGACTGACCTTGACCTTTGTCAAGTCTCCAAGGTCAACAGCATTTAGTTCAAATACATCACACTGTAAGGTAGGAAGAAATAAGAATTTTACATCACAATAATGATTTAAAACTAGATACTTGCTGCAATGCATCAAAGTAAAGTTTAGGTACTGACCTTTATATGTGACCTTGCATGGGCTAATTTTCGAAAAACAAATATAAACAATGTACACTGTAGATAGTACAATTCATAATACAGTTACTTGCTATGTACAGAATGCACAAAATTCAACATAATCCTACACATAAGACTTTTCCTTGAATATAAAAACGAGCATCACCTGTCCTTGTTCAAACTTGTTGGTGTTTGTTTTTGATGCCATAAGACGTCTAAGACCAGTGTCACCCTTGTTGCCATGGATACTGAGATAAACATCTGCATCAGTTCCTGCTTTTGACTGACTACCAGTGTAAACCATAACATGGTATTGGTGTAATGCTGAAATCAAAATAAATTTCATTAAGAAAAAAAAAAGAAATCCTGGCGACCATGGAAACAGCGTTTTTTTATCAAATTATTCACCTTGGTCTTAAATCTTACATTTCCTTTTAGGAAAAAATGTAAGCTTGTTTAAATTGCTTTTGAGACCATTTTCCTTAAGTTAGATTTCAATAATTTTTTTATGTCTGAAGAAGTTCCTGTGCATTAAAACGTGCAGAAATTCATTTACAGATAAGTTGGCAACATCAAAGCAACACAAATATGTGTCAAAATATCTTTTTCAATCCGCGATAAGCTTTCCACTTCACTGTTTTACATCTTGTTTAAAGCAGGACCCTTCCAGATTCATGTAAATTTTCATGAAAATTTTGGAAATGTTTTTAAAAGTAAAATATTGTGAAGTAAACAAATCAGGAAACTTACAAACCACGAAAATTAACAAAAAGTGGTCAAGATATGCAAAAAAGCCCTTACTGTGTTAGTAACACAGTAGAAGTATGGTGATAAAATAGTGCAAAATCAGTGTTAAACCACACATAACCTTTAAAATATACCTGGGATCTTGAATGTTTTTACCTTTCTTAAAAGTTTAGTGCATTTTTCTCAAAATTGATTTTCTTGAAATATTTTATCTCATCTGGAGGCGTGCAGATTAACTTTATGTTTTTTTTTTTAACTTCGCTCATTTAGGAATGAATAGAACTATTACAAATTCAAATTCAATTCAAATGTTTATTGCATAATCAGGCCACCAGCCCATACACATATAACATAATACATATAATAATATAACAGTCATGTGAGGCAATAACATGATTTATATATTGTCAAGAAAATAGAACAATTATACACACAATTATTTCAGAAATATTTTATGTTTGTAAGTCAATATAATAATTTTCTAGCCTGAATTGAGAAAATGTATTCTTTCTTTTGTAGGAAAATACAAATACATATCAAGTTCTCTAATGACTTTTACATTTTGACAAGACATTAAATTATAAAACATTAGTTCATTTGGAGTCTGATAATATACAGAAGGTATGTATTTAATCCTTAAGTCATTGTAAAGAGGACACACTGAAAAAAAAGGTACAAATCTTCCAAATAACATTCACAAAAAGGACAATTCCTATATTCAACAGTGATATCATAATATCTACATTTTTCCACCATAAGGCTATGTGCTGAACTACAATATCTTGCCATACAGGTTCTAAATTTTTCAATATCAATGGCATTGATGTATTTTTCAATAACATAGTTTTGTTTAAAATTTACATAATGGCATAATTTACTCATACACTTAACAAAACTTATAACTGTGCAGTTTTTAAATGTGAATAACTTTTTTATTACTTGACATTTTTTACCCAAATTTTGGAATTCATCGTTTGAATGGTTTATTTTTACAATGCTATATTCAGAAATAACGGTTATTTTTGTTGTGTGCGTTCATCCGTGACATGACATAAACAACAAAGTGCACGTGAGGGTGACAGGTTGGCGCTAAATGAAGTTATTATTGACCATCAAGGATTCTATTAAATTAAAGACATCCAGAAAACATAAATTTGTTGCAGAATTTTCGCAATTGAAAAAAAATGGCCGTCTAGAAGTTTTACGCAAGGGAATTTGCATTTCAGGCGCCCATTTTGAAAATAAATTTGCATAATATTTTCTCAAATAAACATATTGACTAAGATTTTACTTTAAAACTAAAAACAAACTTACTTGATACTTTCATATTAATGAAAATATCGTGTTTGCATTGCTTTTAGCAACTGGGTTCAACGCGTTACGGAGATCGACATAAACCAGTCTTTACTGAAATTCAATAAAGCAAATATTAAAATCACAGTGACATAATGCCCTGGAATTCATTGTAGTATTATACCCTATCGGTGATCCTATGTTTTATGTTTGTATTTTAGTGAAATCAAGAGATTTAGACCTTTTTGCACCCAATATAAATACACATTTTACAGAAATGTGAAATTCGGTTTTCGCACAATATTGCACACATCGCTATTTCTCAGTAAGTACGAATCGCCCTGACATAAAAAAGGAATCCCATCATTGCACATATCTGTACTATACTTGGTTAAAATTTCAGCGATCTATGTTTATTAGTATCTGAGAAAATTTGATTTTTATACGTGCACACTTATAAGATTTGTTAAGTGTAGTACTACACTTATCTCTCCATTCTTATACATATTGATCCTTTAATCTTTGAGTATATTGTAACAAAAATAACTTTGGATTGTCAACCCTTTGATCCTCCCAAACATAACCATTTGAAAATAAATGCACACGAACATCAGTAGCCCAATTATGATAGCCCATGTTGTTATAGATCCTTAACATTTCATAACATAACTTTACATAACGATCACTAGGTAAATTGAGTATTCGTAACCAATATGAAATACATTTTTTTGCAGTATATATATACATGGGGTATCTTCCAAGGTCACCCAGTACTGCATTATTACAAGATGTTGTACTTAATTTTCAGAAATTGTTTACAAACAAAAATATGGACATTTTCTATACAAGACATCCTTTGAAGACCCCACAGTTCAGAACTATACAATAATATGGGTGCCACTTTTGCATCATATAGTTTAAAAAAAGTATTGTTAGGTAGACACGGTAACTGATCTAGAGAGTTTATCATTAAAACTGAAGCCTTTTTTGCTTTATCTGACATATTTTCTGCCATTTTATAGAAACACAGTCTATTTGTAAAATAGACGCAAACATATGAAAAGCCATTAACCACTTCTAAATTATCATTACCATATTTACATTGCCCTCTTTTTGCTAGCCTACCACCCTTCTTGAAGACAAATATATTGGTCTTTGATATATTAACAGTTAACTTATAGTCATTACAAAATTTATGTAGAACATTTAGCTGTTTCTGAAAACCTACAACTGTATCTGACATGAGGGCAATGTCATCTGCATACATTAACATGAATAATTCAACCAAACTAGGAAACAATTGTATTCCACCAATTTGTTCATTACACATAACTGTATATAACTCATTTATAAACATAGAGAACAATATCAGACTTAAGGAACATCCTTGAAGGAGCCCCACAGGGTATTCAAATACATTTGTTAATTCTGTCCTTGTTCTAACACATGCTTTGACTGAAATATAAATTGAAGGTATAGCCTTATATAAATGACCTTTGATACCATTATTTCTCAGAACTGTGTATACATAATAAAGATCTATCAACCGAATCAAATGCTTTTTGAAAGTCTATGAATGCTACATAAACTGATTTTCCATTTATTCTAAAATATTTACTGACAACAGAATATAAAATAAATGCAATATCGACAGTCCTATATCCAGTTCTAAATCCAGCCTGACATTCACAGATTTTTCCATAAAATTCAACATAAAAAGTTAATTGTCTAGTAATAATAGAGATATAAACTTTACTTAAGGTAGCTCGCTACTTTCCGACCGAAATTTGACAATATCTCAGATCTTGATGATTTTTGGTATACATAAATATAGATATGTAAGCTTCACTTCTGCAGCATTATTTTACAAATAAACAGCGTTATTATGACGTCAAAGTGCCCACTATCGATGGCGGCGAAATTGCGTCTTTTTTATCAATAAACCGGTCTGTTCTTATCAATTTTCATCCGATTTCCTTCGTTTTAATTTTATAATGTTCAGTAAATGTATGTCTTTGAAATAATGTCTTTCTTTAACATTTGCTTAATACTCTGCGATTCTACGTCATTTTTCTCTACATTCTGACGTCCATTTATTATACAAATATCGCGCGATATCGCAATAAAGATTGTAAAATAACAAAAAATCAACACGGTGAATTTTGCTATAATTTTTTTAACATGTAGTGAAGTCATGAAAGAAAATATTTATGCAATAAAAATATAGGGTCAACGCGTAAGATATTTTGCTATTACTATTTTAATATAAGATAAAGGATGAGTAAAACGTAATGATTTTGGTGACGTCAAATATTTTTCTCAAGGAAATTGTCACGACTTTTCCGATGAATAGTATACTGACTGGAATTAAAATGTGTGAAAACCATCAACAACAATTGTATTTAGACATATTCCGTAAAATGTTCTTTTAAAAGTCCTGTCAGGTGCCCGCATTTCGATGAACAACTTCAATTATATACATGTACAACAAATCAGGGTGTGACTGTCTGCAAAAGTTTGTATCAATCTCTAAAAAACTGAAACGAATGGTTATTAATACCTCGAGGACTGAAGACAATTCAGAATATTGAAAGATATAATTAAAAGGCCACCTATGTGGAAATAATACAGATAAATATAAACATAAATTTTGCAAAAAATGTCAGAAAAATAGAATGAAAAGGCTGGTGCAGTCGCGGTGTCATCATGTTATGTGTATATCGGTACTATATAAACTTCCATGTTATCATACGTATGTAACAATTTCGAATTGTATATATCAGTTAGTAGGTAATGAATCAAATTTACGTTTTAAAAATGTATGATCAACTCGAAGTAACAACGATTTGTAGGTAAGTCATGTTTCACTGGTAGTCTTAATTATATAAATCTAGCAGACATTTATTTTAAAACTTTTCTACTCGTATAAAAATTTATTTGAGCCGCGTCACGACAAAACCAACATAGTGCGTTTGCGGCCAGCATGGATCCAGACCAGCCTGCGCAACCGCGCAGTCTGATCAAGATCCATTCTGTTCGCTATCAGTTTCTCTACTTATTAAAATGTTTAAAAGCGAACAGTATGGATCCTGATCAGACTGCGCGGATGCGCAGGCTGGTCTGGATCCATGCTGGTCGCAAACCCATTATGTTGGTTTTGTCGTGACACGGCTCATTTATTAACAGTCATCAGTTATTCTATTTTCTCTCGCAGCTAAATACTAGTAAATAATATCCCTGCACTAATTGGAGACTCAGATTTAAAGGAGGAATCAGGTTCTCAT